CCTTACTTACTTAATGATTTTGATAACATCTGGTACTGGGAGCTGACAGAAAGAAGTCAGGTAAATTTCATTTAGGTTCACATCAGACAAATATAAGGCTTACTTTACTACATCAGAGCCACGGAAATGTCACAGACAAGTAAATGAAAATTGGTGGTGAATATAAAAATAGCTGCATGGAACAGACCCATGGGTGAGTGGATTTTTGTAACTGGGTAGCATAGTTTAAGTCTTTTTCTGGAGTCCTACTTAACAAAAAGCTCAAATGAAACATTACCCAAAAATAAATTAATGTACATATCTATAATTACGCAAAATTATTTAAATCTCGGGTAAAATATGACAGTGAGACATGCACATTGAAGTAACACAATAGAAACAGCATAAATGTAAAACTGTAAATACTTTGGCTTAACATACATGTTTCAACAAAAATAAAATAAAAATATTGATACATGAGACATTTAGGGTTGGTAAGATAATCTAAGATATAACTACGTACATGAAGAAATGAAAGAATTTGTGACATTAAATTATAAGTCTAATGGCTCAAGAACAAGAGGAACAATGTTGAGATTGAAGGGATACTACAGTTCAGTGACAATGATAGCAGGAGAATATGATTCATTTCAGAAGCACTGTGACTGTTTACGGTGATCAGAAGACAGGATATAAATGTATGCTAAATCAAATTTTTCCTCAGTCCACTAACTGAAATATAAGACCGGTCAACAAGTTATACATGAAAAAATTTAAAGAAATTGTGTAAGATCTGTTTCCTTTATACTTTAGCGCAAATAACCTGAATGGTTTTTGTAAGTTCCATGCAGGCATAGCAATCCCTTGCCAATCAAGGGCATTTCATTCCTTAAAAACACTGTGATTAACAAGACCTAGACCTAGACCTAGACCTTATGGGAACTGCAGACGCAGTTAACCTTCAACAAATCTTAACCAAGTTCGCTTTGCATTCAGTATGCACAAAATATACAGTAATAGTAGAAATAAAATAGGAGTATAAAAACTGTCACAGAAATATGCAAAACAACAGCAGTACTAATGTTATTAGATTTGTTTTGAATGTCATGACACCCATGACACAAGCAAATGTGTGTACTTAATAGTGTGGAAGACACCGATTTCATTCATGTGTACACAAATTAAAAACTATACATAAATACCACAGTTAGCAAAGCTGGATACAAATATAAAATCAGTTTGCAAGGAATTTCAGAACATTCAAACACACAAAAAAATGCTTTCATACAATTTTTGCGTGTGCGGTTCATCTTCACTATTACAAAATTAAAAGTAAAATATATATTTCCTGTTTTCACCATGTACTTAAAATTCATCACACAAACAAATTTTGATTAACACGTTTAAGCATGTGTAGAATTTTCCAGAGTCTCAGTTTGATCTGGCAAATCAGTTATTATGACCAAAGGTAAATGTTTGCTTGAAACTGACACTATTGTCATTTTCTGTCATACATACATATGATCTTAATGAGATTCACTTATTTTTATGAGGTCCAACACCATATACAGTTTTGTCTGAATATACCAACAGTCCTTTCCTCCAATGCTCTGTGTGTATGGAGATGATCATACATGCCTATAAACTTTGGTCAGGAAACCTCAAGGAAGAGATTATTTTGGAGGCTTTAGAATACATGGGAGGGTATTAAAATGGATCTTCAAGACAATAAACAGTGTGGGAAGGTGTGGAACTGAAAACCAGTGGGGGAATATCTTGCACCATGGAATTAGTTATTTTGAAACTGTCAACTTCCACCTACCTGCATATTATTTCAGTTCAGAGTATGCACTACCATATATTCTATTTAATTTACACATGATGATGAAAGAAGAGATATTATAGCATAAGCAGAAATGATAAGATAAGCTTCAAGTCATCACACTGTTCAGTGCGTAATCGAGCCAAGTAATATTACTGTATAAATAATCAAAGTGATAAGATAACAGGAAATACAAGAACACAAAGAGATATGTACATAACCTAATCAAATTATTGTACAATGCTTGCTTCACTCGTTTCATTTTACAGTTCCATGTGCAAAGGTTGTTAATGTTAAAACATACTATATATGGAACAAGCTTCATCACAGAGAAGGCTGGCTAGCTCAGTGCTAACATTCCTCACCTACACCTGTGAACTAGTATGTTGGTGTAGTAGTAGTGCTCTACACGTATATTCAGGATAATCCTAATTCAAATCCTGGCCAGGCACTAGAGATCTTGGCAGATATTTCATGGTTTTCTCATCAACTGAGGCAAATGCCAGTACAGTACTTCGAAATAGGTCATAACCATCCCATTCCAAGCCCTCAACTACTCATTTTCAATGATAAATTTCCTCTCATTTAATATGATGTCACTCCTGCAGCTAAAACAAGAATGTTAAATCTACTAGATCCAAACAGATTAAATGGGAAACCTAATCTCCTGAGGTTTCTTATGGCCTTCCTAGCCTCTCTAAAAAGCACCAGGATATACTAACACAGTCAATAAGTTCGTGGAAAGGCTGCAAAGCGTCATATGGGAATTTACTGCCAATATGTTTCAGCAATGTTTTTGACAGCTATATCAACGTTGACACTCTTGCATAGTGGCCAAAGGCAACTATTTTGAGAGTCAATGTGGATTTGCATAAGTGTTATGCGAATACCGTGTAATATGATGGGATAAAACGACATTTCAAGAACTTAATGACTCTACCACTTAATTCACATGGGTCACAACTACATCCTCCCTGTGTTTTAATAATTATTATAATAAATCATTCTCTATCCAATTTGATGCTACTTAACTGTACAAGTGTACTGTCAAACAAATAAATAAATAAATAATCAAATTAGTAGAGATATTCTATATACACAACAAAAATTATCAGCATTCCTTTCAATCCATGTTGTCACAAACACATGTGCACAATCTTGTATTAAATATAATTTTCTTATCATTTGTGACATTCGATAACATGCTAGTATTTAACACTGAGAAGTTATCAGCCCCATAGTGAACCTCTGAAATGAAGGACTACCCCTTGCCAGCTATCCATGTCTGTTTATTCAATATACACACATTTTGTGCTAGAAAACCTCATGGGACCACTATGGAGATCTGGGACTTGATGACTAATTGCATGGTAGAGTCATTCTTGGGAAGCTGATAGTCACTTAGCCAAATTATCCACTTTTTTCTGGGACCTCATGATTAATTAGAATGTTCACAACAGTCTGCCACTGGAATCTATCATGTGTTCCATGAATCCAGTCCAAACCCTATTTCTGGTAAGTCAATTTTAAGGATAATATTAAAACAGATCTCAGAAAAATAGAATATTAAGGTGTAGACTAGAGTCACCAGATTCAGGACAGAATCCAATAGTGGATTTTTCTGACTCCTTAAAGGCAACGGATTTCTTGACCAAATGAGCAACTATAAACTTTTCAAGGAAGACCCTATTCCAGAAGGTCATTTAATGAGAGTTACACTAGCAATGATAAAACACTTTTGAAGTCTGAAATTTATATTTTTGAGTGAATTTTCTTTTTCATGCATACAGCACACAGATATTGATATCCCAGCTCTCACTATCTCAATGTCTCTGCTGCAGTTGGACTAAGCTCGTAAGTACTAAGAATGTGGATTTCTACCTATTTGCTTACAGTTCATTTAGCGATGTTGTCAGTAAATCAGGCTACATAGCATCAAATGATAACGTGATTAATGAATAACTGATGAAAGATGTGGAAGTGGTTGTAGTTTATTTTGGGGCATTGCACTGATACTTCTCTCGAGGGACTGAGATAAGCCACGCTAAATCTGTTAGGACATCTGGCCTCTGGAAAAAACTTACGTTGAATATGAAGCTTGATTACTATCACTGCATGTCATGTCTGGTCTGTGTTACGAAGTCTCTGCAGATCAAATTATAACATGCATTAACCAAGAAGAATTAAGTTCAAGTAAGTGTAGTCATTTGGGATGTAATGCTGTTCAGAATGTACTGCCTCAAGGTTCAGGGTCAACCCTGAATATGGAGGTGGTATATTCTTCTGAAATAAAGAAAAGCAAACTGCTAGAAGCTGCTCAAGAATTGCCAGGCTTTTTGTAGATAAAATATTTTGGACAGTTGTTACCACTTCTTAGCTTTTCTTTTCAGCCATCCATTGCATTACTCCAATCCTATTGCCTGAGTTAAAATCCAGCCACCAGAATTGTAGTATGGGGGGGGGGGATTTAAAATCCCCTATTCCTAGATGATAAAGGTTAACATGTGCATGAATTACATGTAATACATGAAACAGACGTTAGATATCAGCCACACTAAATCATAAGCTTAGCAGAACCTGCCTCACCGGCTCAAATGGAGGAATGGCATGGAAACGACCAGGCTCAACAGAACTTTGGCATTTTTTATCTCACATTTATGTTAGTTGGTATGAAATTACTTGTATCATGTTTAAGCAGGTCTGTTTGCATTTTCACGTGTACCTCATTTCTCTAAACAAGAACACTCTGCTCTAAGGGTCATTCTTCAATTAACTAATTAACTAATATTATCTTATTTTTCATCTCCTCGCTCTGTTTTTACTGATTTTCCTGGTGCTACAGTCCTGTTTGAGCCATGATCTCTTCAATCAGAGTCCTCCAAATATTCTCTTCTTTGCGTTCCACTTTTGGTCTCCAAACATCTTTTCCTTCCTCAGGTTTACAAAATGTCAAGGTTCTCATCATCCCTTCTAACAATAAGCTGAACTGAATAACAATATCTCTGAATATTTTCTCACATTACAAATTTTCAATTAAACTTTGCCAAATGCTTTATATTTGTATGAAAAGTGACGTATAAGTTTAAAGGAAGATTAAAATTTGAGGAAGTTGGAAGACGCAGTTCCAAGAATATCTGTACCCAACAAAAGGATGAAGTGTCAGGAGACTGGAGAAATAACACCTCACCAAGAAATTTCATAATGTACTCTTCAATTTGTATTTTTAGTATGAATACATAGAGAATAATTAAAATGGGCAGTAATGTAACTGTAGATCATTTGGAATATCTAGGCTACAAAAATAGCTTTAAAATATATCTCGAGGAAATTTTGGATTCTGCATCTGCATATAGAAACCAAGAAATCACCATTAAAATATTATATCTTCATCCTGACTGTAACTGAGGTGATACGCCTTCTAATTTTCAACTCAGTATAAGAAGGCATAACTACAGCTGCTTGCCTAAAACATTATACCATGACTGCATATTACAGACACAAAAATCAAATCAAATGTTATTTATATTCATATACCAGTACTTACAATTGTATGTGAGTGAATATAAGAGGGTGCTGCAACTGAATTTTAAGATGAAAATAAAGAAATGAATAACATTTCATTTATAAGCCACATCGAAGTTTAAAACTAATTTTTTCCTCAAGCATCAGTCAGATTTAAATTTTGTAAAACCAAGAGACATAAAAGGCAGCAACTCTATATGTACTGCCACACATTACTTGCTGGTTTTGTGCATTCTCAGATCTGATTTGAGGAAATGACTGTCATGGATCAATGTGTATGAATGACCTGTGCCACAGAGTTCTATTGACTCTTGCACTTCTTTCATTACATGAAGGCATCTGGAATTCATATTGTGTGCAGGGTATAGTTCAGAAATGTGACATGTAATCAATTTGGTATGTAATAATGTCTTCAATGCATTAAATTAGATATTTACTGATAATATCAACTTTTAAAGTGGACAAACATTATATATGAGAAACTTATTATGTGGGAAATTTTAACATTGCACTTAAAGGACATGAACTTCAAAAACCCATGTTCTTAATGGTCAAAACTTTTTATCCCATGAATGCTATGTCAGAGTCCAATAAAGATTCGCTAAATCCGAGACCCACGTAAAGTTATTTGTCGCGTGACATACCCAACACGTGACAATATATATATATATATTTATCAAAAACTATAATACAAGATTTCCTACCCAACCATAAAAAATTCAGTCATACCAAATATTCCACATCCACTTTCTTGCAGGGGATTATAGATGTGAGGTGGGAAAAAAGTGCATTTCAGTTTCACCAAAATATGGTAACTAAGTAACTCCATGGAGTTATTTTTTTCTCCATATTTTGTTACATATACACCACTTGTAAAAGTGATCAGTAGATCTGAATGTAATCAATATTTTCTTACTGATCCATATTCCAAATGATGAGTTATTTTTGATAAAAATGATAAAAATCTAATTTGATCATCAGGTAAAGAATGGTCAATACTACAGATGAAAATTAAATTGACTTCATATATTTTGGTGTAAACCACATTCAGTCCCTCCCAGCCCCCCACTACCAAATTTTATCAAAATCCATTTCAGTAGTTTTTAGGGGTGAACAAAAAACAGCTTGACAGTCATGACAGCTTAGTTGTGTATGCATCTCATGAACTTCATGCAAAGGAACTACAAGAAATGGAACCAGAACAGATTGGGATACAACCTAAACAGTGAATATAGAAAGTATGAGTGTAAGTAAATAAGAATACAGGAATACAAAAGACAAAATGATACAGAGGGTGCTTTTGTCATATAATTATGCAGCTCTCATTAAAATGGATCATCAAGAATATTTTGTGGTCTCTTATATATATATATATATTACATTTTCATTTATTGATAATATTGTTCATATAAAACATATTAAAAGCAACATATTTTTACTATTTAACTTTCTTCCTTGTTGCAACAGTTTACCAGTAACAAGAGCTGACCATGATGCTTACTGTCTTCTGGATCTAATGCCATGTAGTTTCGTAGACAGGTATCAAATTTTTTTTGGAATCTACTGCTACTTAGAAAATGAAGGCAGGACATTCCTCTGAAAAAACTGGCGCTTATCTACCAAACTACATTGCATCACATCCAAGAAGACTGTAATCTTCATAGTCATCACCATAAGAACCACAAATTCTCCAAGAGCTAAACAGCTTACTAACCTAAAATACATGTGTCATTGTATTTTCCAAATAACAATTACCACTTTTCAAGTCCAGTATCCTTACTAAATCCATCAGATGGATGTTGTTGTTATGCAGGCATTTCAAATGATTCCTCTAAAAGAGAATCATCACATTGGATTAAAATAAATAAAATAAATTAACATATGAAGGACAGATATCACATTATTACCATATTTTGTTTGTCAGTTTATTTAACGAACCATCATTTCCAACTGCATATTTTATATAGCGAGGAATGAAGGAAGAAGTCATGGCTGACAGTAAAGTACTATCCCAGCATTCACCTAAAGAGATTGAGAACCCTCCCCCCCCCTAAAAAAAAGAAACCCTATTCATGAAAGCCAACCTCTGAACTATGAATTAAACCTGAGACCTCCAATATGTATGAATTCTAACTACTCGACTGTGATCCTTGGTATTATGCCCAATGTAAATTTCTGTCACGCATTCATCATCACAATAATGAGTCTCGATGCTTGTCAAGTCTCCACATTTTCCCTTTAAATTAGTATTAGCAAAGAACACCCTTTGTTTAATGAAGTGTCTTCTTTTGGCTGCGATGGACTCCTACCAATTCCATTATTTTCCTATTAAGGGTGAGTGTCAGAGCAGTGATACCAAAAACGAAAATGAAGCCAAGTTATGCTCGTGTGTGTGACAGAGAGAGATGTGTTGGACCCAGTGCCAAACCAGAGAGGTTGTTTTAGTAATAGTGATGGCACCTTAGTGAGTGCATAAATAAAGTAAATGCAAATAGTTCTACATGTTCCTTATACTCCAGTCTCTAAATCATTGGATAATGTGGATTAGTTTGGGAGATATAACAATTTCTTAGTAAAAGTTTTGTTTTTCTTAAGAAGTGGCCATGTTCAAAGAGTTCAATGAACAAAACATGGTAATCTTTTTCCATGGGTTATTTAATGATAATTTCAGTATTAGACCATACAGCATCAGATTGTAGGATGATGAATGATGAACTGTAAAGGGTTTGAAATGAAGCAGCAGAGGCCTAATCAAGGCAATAACTTGGGATTTTCCTGGGGGGGGGGGTAAAAAGAAAGAAAGAAAAACTCTGGCAAACCTCAGCAAGGACATCCAGTGTCCTGGCCAAGATTCAAACTGAGGACCTTAACAGTATTACTTCTACACCTACATGTTTAGCACATGGTAACTTTTCATTAGTATATTAATATCTTTTTTCCAATTTCCACACCCATATGACCTTTCATTAAAGTCAGAATGATCCAATTACAAACAGAAAATCTGGAAACTGCAAGCTCTTGCTTTCAGTGCTAATCATCCTGTCTACTTTCTAAGATGCTGAAGATTTGAATATACAAATCATAATGTTGCCAGCTCTGTATAGGCATGAAACATGGACTCACTTTGAGAGAAGAACATAAATTACAATTGTTTTAAGACATGGTGCTCAGGAAAATATTTGAAGCTAACCAGGACAAAGCAATGATGAAGAAGTTATTAACGTGTAGATCAGTATTATTAAACCAGTGACATCTGGGAGACCATGATGAGTTAGGCACATGGCTAGGATGGTGGCAACAAAGAATACGGACAGAAATTTGGCAGGAAAATATGTTACAAAATACAATTTTTTGGGTAAAAACAAGATGGCAGGATAACACTAATATTGTGGCATGTAGATCTGTTGCTTGGCAATGACCGTGAAACAAGCAACTATATAACAGCCATTGCTAGATAATGGATCTACCAACAGACACAAATGCAACCATTGCACTGCAACAGAGGAGTGGTGTTTTCTATGTGGTCCATGATGAGATGTTATAAGTAGGAAAAGTGAGTAGTCAGTCAGTGGAATTAGTGAAGAGTTGGTTGGTGAATGAGTTTCTTAGTCAGAGAACTGAAGTCCAGTTGATGTAGGCTGTTGCTGTGAGAAACTGGTAGCTGAGGCCAGGGACAGTTTGGGAACCCAGAGGAAGGGGAACGTCCATCATTAGAAGTTGCTACGATGCAATGACAGTGAGCACACGTATGTGTGTGTGTGTATAACAGTGTACTGTAAAGTGTAGTCATGCGCTGTATCAAAGAGGCCAATAAATTTGATCATAATCCAAAACCCGTCTATAGTTACACTCCATAAAATCGTGACAATATATATAGAGATCATTCAAGTGAAAATTACCAAACCAACATAAACTGCATATTATGCAAAAACTGATGATAATCTTTCATCAGATTGTGGACCCAAGTCTACTGCAAAACTTGAAACAGCTGATTTTCAAGATGGCAACATATTCACAGTCCTGCACCCAGGTAGAGGTGTAATGGCCGCACCATAGCTCAAGCGGTTAGTCGCTGGCTTCCCACCACGGCGGCCTGGGTTCGATCCTGGGTCTGGTCAAGTGGGATTTGTGGTGGACAAAGTGGCGCTGGGGCAGGTTTTCTCCCGAGTGGTTTGGTTTCCCCGGGCAATCTTCATGGGACCAATTGCTCCACAATCCCTCACCTATCATCTGGGGCTGGTACAATAGGCCAGAAGTGGCCGCAGTACAAGGGACTTAGTCCCACCCCACTAGCAATAAAAAAAAAAAAAAGGTAGAGGTGTGATCTGGAGTCTTGAGTTTTGAGTGCAGATGGATACCCCAACTCCATACTTACTAGACTAAGCTCCATGTAATTATCACCTTTTATGGTCACTAAAAGATGGACTAAGAGGAAGTAATTTCTTGCCAGGTGAACAGGTCAAGATGGTGGTGCTTCAACATTAACCATAAAACGTCTTCTCTCGAGGAATCCAGGCTAATGCAACACTGAATGACGCATGTGAAACATAATGAGGGATACATCAAAGACTGACATGCTCAGTTTCCTTGTTGTTTGTAACATAAAATTTTTATTTATCATTTGCAGTTTTCACTTGAATGACCTTCTATATTAGGTGTAGCTTGTAAGGATGGAAAATGGATGGAATTGGTTGTATATCAAGTAAAATGGCAGGGTCTGGTATTAGTAATGATGAATCTTCAGGTTATATTAACAGAACTGGCTAGTTAGTTATATTAAGAGCGTCTGGGGATCTTTCATTAATTTGCAAATACCTTTATACGATACTGTCCATCATGGTTAATACCGTTTTATACTGCCATCACCAAGAGGCAGTTGCAGATAATATTCAAAAATGGTATGCAGAGGGCTGATATAATCAGCATTGGTACTGAAATATCCCCAGTATAAGTGTCCAGAAATGCCTTGATGTAAATTATTGTAGACAGCCTTAGTACTTGGAAGTGTTCATGTCTACCAGTGACATCTGTTGGACATTTAACTAACTTCCTGATAAACTTAATTCCCTGCATACTGTGGCAATATTACAATTTTGCAAATCTTACTATATAAATCATCTACACCACTTACTATGTGTTGCGCATAATATATTTTGGGAAATATTCTGTCATCTTCAAGCACTTATAGTATCATCACATATTTAAATTATCACAAGATGGTTAATTGTAATACCTAATTAACTTATTTATATCAATAGCAAACTACCATATGTGGGGTTAGTGCTGTGACGTTTCCACACACTGGGCCTAGTGTCTGAGTTATATGACTTAATGTAAAACAATGTGAAACAACTATTGTTTAGTGAAATAACAAAGTGCAGTCTTACAGGCTGTCTGACTAGGGTCAGGATAGGATTAATTTGTAGGATTATAAATGTTCTGCTACAAGTTTGACAGAATCTCCTGTGCTCCTTAGTTTGAAAATAACATCCCCATGCTTAAACTAATGATAACTGTCAATTAAATCACTTAGTTCTCCCCAGAGTCTGCAGGACTGTAGAATGCCCGTGAGTAGCTAGCAGGTCCACGGGAGAAGAAGCGTGACCCAAAGTTACTCTTACGGAACAGCAGCAGAGCTATCATGGTAACAGGCACAGCAAGTAGCACTCCCACCAGGATCCCAACAAGCATCTTCGCATCCTTCTCTGGGTGGTTCCCAGCAGAATCCAGGCATCGCATATGGTAGTTGCGAACTTCCAACTCGTGCAGCTTTCTGCCTCTCATTTGTTCTGGCTCCACACACCTGTCACAGGATTAATAATTTCTAACAGCGGTTCTGTGGATCCCCAGGAAACTCTGTCTAATATAGTTTTACCCAACTGTCTCTTCCTGTATGACGTTATGCTTATTCAATGACTTAAGTCACATTTCTCAGATATGAAGGGCTGAGATGTGAAGAATAGAGTTTCACCACCCTTACCAACTTTCTGCATCTCTGTTGCACCGCAGATTTATAAATGAAGCTTTGGATTACAGAAATGACAGTATTACATCCAGTGTGGAGAAAGTGAGACTAAGTAATTGCAGAAGACTAAGTCTTGACGGTACAACAATTATATCTGGTGTGGTGTAATGGCTAATATTAGAATACAGGTTAAGTTACAGTTTTTCTTTTAAGTTTATCATTTATGTGTTTCATGGGCTGACAGTCATGTTAATAAATAGTAAATAAAGAAGTATGCACTATGTTTTCTCACTGCAGGCAGCAGATCTGATGTAGGAACAATCTACTTGTCAGTAGTTAAAATGGAACACTCTCTCATGCAAGTCTGCTTGGTCAAGTTGAGTTTCCTTCCAAGTATCTCTGATATAGCAACAAGACGTTAAAATACATCACAACTGTCCTTTTAAATACATTATGCCAGATCTTCCTACATACTGCATACTTACTCCAGAGTGTCTATCTGATATTTTGTGATGTTCTCCACTGCTGGCAGCAATGTACTGACCATCCACTGATTCTCACAATCGCAGAGCCAACGATTTCCAACTAGGTTCAAATATTGAAGTATTTTCCAGTGCCCCAACAAATGTCTATCCAAGGAAGCTAAGTTATTGTGTCCAAGGTCTAGCTGCAAGCAGAAGCACAACTTATTCAACTTTCTGGACAACAAGAGAATCCCTCTAGAAGTTTAGAGAATGTGTAAACAAATCACCATGATAATGATACAGAATCTATTTATTATGAGGAATATTTAGACAGAATAAAGAGCAAGGAGTTATAACACCTGGAAGGAAGAAGGAATGTTAAGAACGTGAAATAATCAACACTTGAGAGAATGCGTTGTTACACTCACCTTCACAATGGGTGGCCATTCTTCTGACTTTTCACCATCCCTGCGTGAACTGAAAGTATCCGGATGGATAGACGACAGACGAGGGTTGTGGCTGAGATACAGTTCCTGTAGAGCTGTGAGTTTCGACATGGCCCCAGAGGCTATGTATGTCAGGTTCTCCATATATGACATGTGCAGCTCACGGAGATAAGGCATATCTGACTTGAAGCTGTAATTAAACTTAGTTATATAAGCAAAGGGATGAGAGTCTATAGAGTCTATAGAGAGCTTCTGTACACTGGCTTCCAATCAAGGGCAGTATCAAGAAGTTCTGGGAAGAACTTATTACAATATATATTCTCCTTCAAATGCTTCAAACAATATTGTGAGGTTAGTGAGAACTATATAAAGGATACATATCAATTTCCATAAATAAAAAGAATTCCCAATAGAACAGATTTATGACTGTTAAATTTCTCAGATATAACCTCAAAGTTCTGTACTATCACCATATTCATAATTTTTAACACGTGGCAATCCCTCACCAACCACTGATTTCGAGTATCCACAGTCTTCATCTGTATTGAGTTCTTCTCACCGCAGTATTACTTTTAAGTATCTGTGGTTATTAATCTATGTACACTTGTAAAAAATTGACAACTTTTGCACCAAGAGATCCTTGCTTGCTGAGGGAAGGGCTGGAATGGCATAAAAACAAGTTTTTCTTCTCTACACAACACATCATTAGGAACTATAAATCAAACAGGATGAGATGCAGCATATATGGAAGCTATGAGAAATGTACATAAAGATTTATTGGAAAACATGAAGGTAAGAAATGAGAATGTATCTTGAAAAAACAGGATGGGAGGATGTGAACTTAATTCATTAAAATCATGACAGGGACTCATGGTAAACTTCTTTGAACACAATAATGAACTTCTGGGATCCATAAAGGCCATGGAATTTGACTAGCTGTGTTACTATTAATTTATCAATAAGGATTTTCCTGCATAAAGAATACTTGCTAGAAAACCTGAAGGGACATGATCACTTGGGCGACTTAGGTATAGGTGGGAGTATAGATCTTAAGCAAAAAAGATGGCCTGGATTCATATGGCTGAGGATAGGGTCCAATGCCAAGTTCTTGTGAACCTGTTAATGAACCTCTCCAGTTCACAAAAAGCATGGAATTTCTTGGATAGCTAAGAGACTATTCATTTCTGGAAAAGGATTTTGCTCATGGGGTTAGTAACTTCATTACTGGCAATAATATTGTGTCGATTATTACACTGCATTATACTGTCCTTATCATGGAGAATAATGGAATCCAGTCCTATGGGTTCCTTTCACATTTTATTCCTGAGGAGTGAAAAAAAAGTTAAAAAAGGCAAACACCATACCTGGAGCCATTACATACCTTGAACGGTCCAGCACAACAACTGGGTTCTCAGAGAAGTGAAGCACTTCTAAGGCATGACTGTGTTCAAGTGCAGATGGCACCCGAGTCATGAAGTTACCTGTCAAGTTCAGGACTTTGAGGTTTTTTGGGGTGTGTAGCAAATATTCAGGAAGGTCCTTCAGATCTGTATATGAAAGGTCCAAAACCTGTAGACATACAGACAGCATGCAAACAAAAGCTTCACTGCAGTAACCACCAAAAACTGCCTCCACATTAACCTGAATTAGCTCAATCCAATCTACACTGCTTTGATCACTTTTGTTGTTTACTTCAGCACAATTATGACTCATACATATAAGGTTGACCAAATAAAGGAGGAGTTGGGTGGCCTATGTAGCATGCAAAGGAGCAATAAGAAATGAAATCAAAATGATGGAAAACCTGAAGGGAAGAGACCACCTGGGAAACCTACACATATGAGAAGATGGAAGGACAATATTAAGATAGATGTAATGAAATATGATTGGACTGATCTTGCTCAAATATGCCCAGTGGTGGACCCTGTTGAACAGTGTAATAAACACTTGCATTCCATAAAAGGTGGGGAATTTCTTGACTAGCTGAGTAACTCTCAAGTGTTTCAAGAACAATTCTGTTCCTTTGAGGTTCTGTGATCACACACATGCAGATGAGTGTGCAAGCACACATACACACTTAAGTACTGCTGCAAAACTATCAGATCAGGATTTCAGCTTCACACAAAGTAGAAGTTATGCTGAACCAGTATGAACCAAAATTAAATTGTATGACAACCAAAGTGCAGAACTATATAATTTAGTGACCTACTTTTGTGACTAATTTACACAGTGTAAATTCACAGTACGTTAAATTTGCAGATAAAATTTCAAAGTTCAGTGTCTTTGCCATGTTTGTCACTGTGAAGATAAAAGACACATTTCATATAGAGATCTGTAGGTTTGCTTATGAACTAAATTTCCAGCTGTTCAATAGTTATCATCACCTGGAAATCTAAACGTAGATTTTATGTGGCTGCCGTAAGTTTCTTTCATGTTCTATAAAAATATTAAATCAATAGAGCTTTAATATCTGTGATTGAGACCAACAGTACCTCAAGATATGGCAGACTGCTGAGAGCCAACACAGTCCCTTGGTCTAAAACACGGAGAGGGTTTGCATCAAGGGTGAGAATCCTTAAGTTGACTATGTGCTCAAACAGATCTGACTTCAGCGTATGGATAGCATTGCTTCCAAGTCTCAACGTCTCTAAGTTAGCAAGTGGCTGATATCTGTCTGGGGCAAACACTCCCTAAAACATATGCAGAAAACTTCACATAAAAATGCAAAAATTTCACTGTAAGTACATGCCATAGTTTGTAAAAAACTCAGGACTCTTTCCTTTCTTGTCTTCACAGATTAGCCAATGTAGTACAAGAACCAGCCTCAAAAATGTATTTCCAGTATCTCTTTCATCTCCCTTTTCATCCCAGTAATATAATAACAGTTAAAGCTTGAAAAATATGGTCTCCCACTTACTTGGGCAAGTTGATTTTGTGAGCTGATGAATAGAAAATGACAGCAGTAATTTATTAATAACATGCTATGCCCTCACTCTTCTGTATAATGCAAGATTGTTTGCAAGAAACGAAATGCATATAATGTATACTTTATTTGGAATAATAATTACTCAATATTTATTTCACAAAGTTCAATGGGAATAAGATTTTGTTAAGAAGTAAGACTACTTTTTCTTAATTCCAGTATTATTATGTGTCTTGTGTATTGGTTCCATTTCTCTATACTCTTATTATTTTTGTAAATCAGTTTTTATTTTATAAAAATAAGTTAAATAAGTATAAGAAACAATTCCAATGTAAAGCTCTGGAGTGGTGAAAGCATTTCTAGTTTCGACGTGTAGGACTTTCACTTTTTCAAGCCCTGATTACAGGCAATAAATCATTTGAAAATATTTAAAATTTTAACACTCAGGCACGTCTGCAGGATGATACAGTTAAAACCATATCCAAATAAAAAGCACTGTTTCATTTCTTACTGAACTTGAAATATGTTTACAAAACATGCTAGATGTGTCCTCAGTTTTCTGGATACATGCATCAATCCTCTTTACTGCATTCTGTAAGAAAACCCCATACAAATAGTCAACAGAAGTCAGATCCAGGGATCTGGCTGGCCACATTCCATTCAAAATGTCTTAAACATATCCATTGCTGTCCTGGCTGCATGACATGCAGTGACATCCTGCTGCAATTAACAACTTCTTCTATTCAGCTCCAGGAAAGAGCAGAACCACATAATTATGCACTGATATACTTCAGCACTGACTCTTCCTTAAAAAGTTATGGTCCAACAATTCTATGACTTGACATCATGCACCAGACACCTATCAAATGGGGATGCAAGAGTGTTTCTTGGAACATGTCTGAAATTCAAGCTCTTTTTAACACTAACTGAGGCAGAACCACACTTTGCCCATAAAGAATGTGTTATGTACAATTTTGAGCCAATTGCAGATAAAGAATTGGAATCATACCCTGCATGGTAATATTAAATTATTTTCCTGAGGTAAGAGATTATGCACGGTATGTGTGTGGTTAGGTTAGAGCTTCAGATGATGCCTAACTGCTCTATATTGTCAGGCGTCTGAGTGGCACTACCAACAGGATTTTGGATTTACTGACCACTTAGCACACCACTCATAACTAGACTCAATTATAGCACCATTGCTAATTTCCACGCTTTACAGTTCACTAGATCACATGCTACGTCTCTTCCAGCCCACAGTGTCTTCATTAGTACTTCCCTGGTAATGACTCCTAACAATAACTATCTCTCTGCTTCCGGACTCAGTTCCTCTCTGAATGATGGCTCCAGTCCAACTCTGCATGCCCACTCTAATTGTCCTCCTTATAACCCCTCAGCGTGGATCATCATAGAAAACTCCATTTCCAACAGTACCTCTATTGCGTGTGAACTGCTGCCACAGGAACGTGTTTGTTTGTGATTGTTGCCTAGAAATGTGTCTAACCACTACACTGCTCCATACTTAATGTGATTCATCCCAAATGGCCTAGAGACATACTGCAATTTCTTCTTTTCCGAGGGATGTGCTTGGTCTCACCTTCCTCCTCACGGTACAGTTTTTATGGGGATTAATCTCCAACTGCTCCTGCTGCTCCATCCTTAAGGTCCCTCATCCCAAGTGGTTTCCTGATAAGGTGCAAGTCAGTAAAGGTTTACTAATATCAGTCTTTCTTTCAGTTGGTGAGGGCAAAACTACATAAAGTGGCCGGTGCTCCTACCAGTAGCTTATTTTTTCATTTTGGAAGGAGCTGACCGCTCCACAGTGTCCTGACACTCATTTTTTGACACCTGTCAGAAGATCTGACTGTTCACTTCTTGATCTCCAGCCCAATGGTTTTCCCAAAGATCTTGTCAGATGTCCTCTCCTTCCTCAGACATAGTTACTCTTTTATGCCTTGACTCCCTGTTCCGTTGACGCCTTCCAGTTTTGCCTATCTCTTCCTGAATGGCCTTCCTTTCTGGGTTTTTGATGCAGCCTTGACCTTGCCTTGTCCCTTACATCGTGCAGGAATGGAATGGCAGTAGCCAACTTCTTCATTGCCCTGAGTCTGTTTCTTCAGCTGATTGCGGCATCTCACGGCTATATGCCGGTCCCCATACCACTCCTTCAGTGCTTAAAAATTTTCCAGTGGCCTCTTCCTTTGGGACCTCCTCATGCTCCGCTCCCTTTGTATTGGACATCTAACCCGCTACAACATGATGAAAAATATAACTGTTTACTCTGTTGGCATAACAGTCCTAAGGAAATTATAGAATGTGGTTTCAAATGCATCAACTGGTATAATAAAATTAGGTCAAAATGTAATTATGAGAATAATAATTTCAAGAAATGCTTGCTATCATTTCTTTAAAAAGTTATCAGCCTATGAATTTAAGGAAAATAAAGCGTTTTTTTTTTGTATGGCTGAAAAAACTGCAGCTTCATACTCTGAAGATAAATAGATAAAAAGCATGAGTGTGAAAACAAAGTGCTCAGGAAAGTATATGGGCCCAACAGAGGAGAAGTAAGGAGGTATGTTGGACATTATTTATGTCATTTGTGATTTATACCAATCACATTGTATAATTAGGGTTGTTAAACCAAGCAGTTTATGATGTGATGGAAACGTAATTCAAATGAGAAAACAAAATGTATGTAAAGAATTTTACTTTTGAAAGCTTGTTAAAAACCAAAGAGGTCTGAAGTTGATCAAACAGCCTCAGGATTGGGTTCAATGGCAAACTTTGTTACTACCACTGTTAGATCTTCAAGGTCTATGGAGAGATAATTATGTGTATTTTGCACAGGCTGTTTTACCTTGAACACATCTGAAGCCAGATTTTCTGAAGTGATAAAATTGTGGCTCAAGTCAAGTTCTGTTAGATTCTGAAGATGCATGAAAGCTGCACTGTCAATCCCAACAATATTATTATGACTAAGTGACAGGCGAAGCACTGCCAGAGGAGGATACTGTGTCACATGAACCAACTGATTGTTGTCAATCATCACATCAGTAATCACCATGTCACTAGGCCAGTCTGAATCATTGAAGTGGAGCTGAAGATTGCGTGCAACACAGTTCACAGTTGTTTCAGAACACATGCACACTTTGCAGACAGGATCAGCCTTAGCCACTGCTGTCCATAGTAACAGAACCAGCAGCAACAATTCAATTTGATGCATTATGAATCTACAAAACAAACTTCATTTTAGCAAGGAAATAAACTTTACCAATATTATTAATGTCACATTCAAATTAACTGTGCAAACATCATCAAAACATTATTAGACAGACAACTCAGAATATTTGTTAATTTACTCTCACTTTTTCTGACTGCACAGTCAGTGTACTGATATAATGGTTTTGCTGTGCCAGATATGAAGCTTGAATGGGGAAAGGAGAAAGGTGCACAGAAATTTAGTGAGGAAACCTCCTGGGAAGCCTGTACAACTAAGAAAATAGGTGAATACTATTAAGATTTAGTTCTGGTATTTTTATCAGTGTAGCATTTTCTAGTTCTAATGCACTGGTTATATAGTGTGGGATGGTATGATGATTCTGCATTGTAAACTGGAAAAGACAGGGATTAGTTCATGGTACCAGCTCAGCAACTGCTTTGAAGGACTGAAGAAAACATAAAACCCATTAGGATAACTGGCCTTTTGGCCAAGAATCAAAGCCAGGGCATACTGAACTTCAACAAAGGGTTCTATCACCATCATGACATTCAGTTAATGAATGAGTAACAAAGAAACAAGTATGAACTGAGGAATTAGCAAGAGATACCTTTTGTTATGAAGCCCTGGGAGATTACATAAAAGACACAGCAACTCAAAACTTGGAAATATCACCATCACCACCACAACAATACATTCAATCTCTAAAAACATTCTATTCTGTAACATCCACAACAGATCAACTAGCGCTGACACTGGCAAGTACGGTAACGGATCACACTTAATATGTACAAGGGTAACACATTTTATTTCTATGTATATATCAAGATTTGACTATTCTTATTACATTTCAGAGGATGTAATACACATATATAACTACTGTCAATAAATCAATTTCAAATATTTTAAAATGTATTACTTTCAGATTTAAGATTGAATTAAAATAACAACAAATTACAGAAATGCTTGTCATTACCCTATCTACTTTCAAAAACACTAATTACTGAGCTATGCAAAACAATAACATTAGTAGGTGTGAAATATGGTCACTTACTCTGAAGGATCACTATAAATTGATGTGTTTGAAACAAAGTGAACATGAACACATACTTAAGGCTAAGAAGGAAAGAGTAAGAAGCCATAGAGGCTACAATACTATGAAATGAGAATTTCATGATTTACCTATGTCAATTAATGGTGAAATGCTGGCAATTCAGAATATGACGGGCTGCATGTGTAGACATGATAGGGAACATGACGAAGCCATATAGGATTTTGGTGTGGAAATGTCCACTCAGAAAACTGAGAAAATTGGAGGATAACATTAAGATGGATCTTAGGTTGTGTGGATGGTAAGTGACTATCTTGCCTCATGGTGGGCTTCACTCTTAGTGCTGCTGAGGGTTTTACTACAACTGAGTTAATTATATCAGCATGTACTAACAAAAGTCCTCACCTATGACTTGTGCCAAGGTCAAGAAAATGTAGGTCTATACATCAACTCACCCATACGGTTCCATGGATTAGTGTGTAATTAGTTAAGCACAGGGACAACTATACTTCACCTTACAGATCAAAAGTAGACTTCAGGAAACTCACTATGATTTATAGCATGTTTGAAGTTTTGCTTTGACTGTACATTTTATAACAAAGAAAGGACTGGCAGGTTATGTTCATTCTCAAGCATAATTCTTGAGTATTTTAAATATCCTTACAGGGAGGTGTTAATATTTCACAATGCACTTTTGAAATCTTATAATGATAAATGACACTTCAGCCTTAAACATCTGTCTTTTTATTACTTATCTGGTCTGTCCTTTTAAAATTACTATGTACAAATTATTTTTTCAAGGACAAAATTATTTGTTCTATATTATTTATCAAAAAAAAATGAAAACTTAATTACCAATATTAAATAACTACCTTTGAAACTAATGTTCTTAATGCTTAGTTATACTTGTTGCTTTTAAACTGTAGAGAGGACTATAGTGCCTGTGCTAATTGCAGCTTATCTCAGTCCTGATAAAAGTTCCTGTTTTATCTGCTGCACACAGTCTTTGGACTATCTACCTACCACACCTTATATTTCATCATAGATGAAGTATGTGAATCAGGAGGTTCCTAAAAGATTAATGGTGCGAACAGGTAAAAAAAAATAAGACACTGATATCAGTGTGAATAAATTACTAAAAACTGATACATACAAAAATATGCACAAATAATCAGAAAAATGCAAATACAGTATTTGCTCAGTTGTGTGAACTATACAAGCCTAACAAAAACTCATTTCATACAATACACAGCCATTTATTATGTCATGCTCATATATAATATTCTCCCAGACTGAAACTTGAGCCAATTCTGAAGATAAATTAAAGGGAGAAGAACTGTTTTACATATCAGTTGTATTAAACAAATTAACAGTTTATACATACACTAAACAATTATGGATGTAAGAGACATGTTTAAAAAATCTTTCATTGGTTTCTTATGTGTCAGTAATACAAAATCAATCAAAAATGAAGTATGTACCACTGCATTACATTTTCTGACAAATTTTTATCATCACCATCACAAACATTGTTCTCACTGCTGTTGCTGAACACAACAAAATAAAACAATCTCAATAAATGACCCAACAAAATTGAACAATTGAGAACATAGTTCATAACCAATTTTAGGGTTCCATCTGAAGGAAAATCAATGCACATTACATTTTGGAAAACAGCAAGATAATGAAAATATATGTATGAGAAATTATAGCAAAGGATTGTGATGATTCAGAATGTAAGCAGGATTTAATCTTTCACTGTTTCACTGTTTATAACTGAGTTACATTTGTTATCAGTACATACACACGGGCTGTTTCATATGGATATGTCATGTAACACATGCCATTACAAACAGAAGGAATTATAATTTGCATTCCTGCCATTTTGCTTGTAAGTAACCTTTTAAGTAACAAACTACTAACAAAGGATCAATCCATTTCAGTCATATTACAGTGCTGACAGCTGTTCTAACGTCTTGTGACAGTAAAGGGGTTAAGGGGGACTATTCCACTTTCATAGTTATGTATCCAATAAATCCATATCTACATGTCTGCTCTCCTGTTGTCAGTGTCTGAAGCTACATCAGTTCATTTGTTTACAATGGTTGACTTGTATTCAGGATGTGTTGTACACGTCTACTGTAAGTGACAAATATTAATAACAGAAGTACGTACATAGATGAACTCCATGCAACTGTCACAATGTGCTGACAGCAGTTTTATGATGCTGGATCAGCAACTGAAGATATGAAATGGGCTATCATCCAGAAAGTAGTAAAAAAATTGTTAAGGATATTTGTATAACTGCTTAGCATGCCCACTAAGCTCCTGCGTGCAGTTTATTACACGTTTTAACTTCAAACAGAGGTAATTATGTATCAATATCCTCTGTTCTTAATTATTCATAGTACTTCTCCTCTCCATTACTGCAGATAGTTGAGGGTTCTCTATAATTTGCAAGTATCACATTAAAATAAAACGGTTACTGTGAATTACATATAATCATGTAAATGTATTGCAAAGTTGTCCCTGCATGAAGCCTCAAGCAATGAAAATCAAACCTACTTCATAAGCATAGTGAACATGAAACTATAGTATTCTCATTCCACAAAAATACTGTACATCCAAACCTCACTATAACACACAAATATCCTCATACCCAGTGCCATGGTGATATTTTTCAGTGGCATAAAATGATCGAAATTCTCTAGTACAGATAAATAATAGTTTTGGCAGTAATGATAAATGTGCAGATAAATTTTACAACACAAACAAAATATCAAGAATCAATTCAATACCATTTGTTTTCTGCTCAAAACTAACTTTGTTTTTATGAAATACTTGGAATGGCTAATGGTATTTTAGCCAAAATTTATTACTTTCCATGGGAAGTAAAGTTTATGGTTTCAACATGTTTGTGTATCTTAGTCTTGCAAATAGCATTTGAACCAATTATCATTTTAATGAAACTTGATACATATGGTGTAACAATGGCAATCAACTCACATTCTAATCTTCAACTCTCTGCCATCAGTAATTAATTACAACATGACAGCCTGGCAAAAACCCCAGAAAGAAGAATGTTAGACAACAGTGTCAAATTACTTTTATTAAGAATGTCAGATAAACACATGGCAACTACAAAAAAATCTGTATTTTATTTTCATTTTCATAATAATAAATGATCCACCCTTACAGGTGGGGAATTCAAATTTTGTATAGAAAAGATAATCCATATACCCACAAATTCAGAACTGATGGAAAAATTCTGTCTTCTGTGATGCAACAGCACATAGTCCAGTGAAAGTCAACTAATGTTTCAGGGGAACATACTATCTCCATCTTCAAGGTTGAAGAAGAAACCAGCCTGAAGCAGGCAGCAAACAGAGAAATCTTAAAACAGGTTCATTCTTTATTTAAATTTCATTAATTGGTTCATTCTTTATTTGCATTTCTTTCATTTGTTTACTTCTGTGTTGTTTCTTCTCTTGAGGGCTAAAAATTATGAAAATGGTGAAAGAACAAAATTCTTGAGGTCATATCAGGAAATTTTCAGATAATCAAAATTCCATGCAGGCCACTACATTACCATAAACCTTTCCTGAAATTTGTAGAGCTGACATAAAAAGCAGGTTTGAATTGTAGCCATATACTAGCAAAGAGACTGCAAGGCCTGCCTGAACATCAAGTAGTAACCAGGTATTAACACAAAATTTGTAAAGATTAGGCAGTGATAGCACAGGAGCTGTAAATAGTGGCCAGATCTCAAACAGCATCCAGGTACTATCACGAAAAATATAAATAGTAGCAAGGTCTAAATCAGTGGCCAAGTAAAAGCAGGTATCTTGCAGCCACAAATGATCAGTAAGACACTAATGACTGTTCATAAAAAAATTCTGATAATACCATTACTTCATAGGACAAGAACTTTTTTAAATAGTTTTCATAGCTAAGAAAAGATTTCTTTTATACCCTCCCTGGATAAGGAGGCTCACACTTGGTGTATCTTCATACCTACTCTTTTGAATTTCTATACAAAACCCAAAACTTTTCATTTAATTCATTAAAATTTCAAAATTCAAGTCTTATAAACTGTAGATGGACCTTAACAGAGAAACCTTAAATAGCAGCCTATCTACCATTCAGACACATTCAGTACACAATTTAATTTCATCCACATTCATTTAACACAGAGAAGCATTTACAGAAAAACAGAAACCTAAGTTCTATCCAGAACTGATGCTTGGCACAATATGAAATAAGTTTACTTCATTATACACGTTTTCCTTCAGTGCATAAGTGTGTTATAATAAGATTTAATTGCATAACAGCATATTTTCATGAATACAGCAATCAACATATGCAGATCAATGACAATGATCATCATAAATCGATTCTGTCTGATACTGCCAACATTACATGTGAAATATACAGTTTGCCAAAAAAAAATCATGCAACAAACAAGACAGGTAGACTTATTTGAAAAATTATACAGATTATCCATTTGAGCATGCACGTTCACAAAATGGCATCATCTTTCTTTCAGTTTTCTCTAGCTTTGCTTTATACCATGGTAACAACTGAGACAGAATACTGCCACACCAGAAAATATGGAAACTTATAGACATCATAATAAACAGTAATGAACACAATCATGCTACTCTTATGAATAAATCATTTTTACTATTAAAGTCAATTAATGCATAAATGACTCTAGCTCATGTGTTCTACTCTCTGTACACCGGAATGTACCAACAGTGCCACAGGATATACTTGCATAAATAATTTACATTTGTCTATGAGAACATTAGTCCAATGCGTTGCATGATTTTATGATTAACCTGTATTATGTACTGTTGATAGTTTAGACTGATGATCTGGGTTATGTCTCTTAGTAGTGGGCAACACTGACATTTGACAGAGTGGCATATATACATTCATACTTTTTCTAGTCCTGAACACGGCATCTCAACACCTTGCATGACTGCTTCATATATCCATATTCAAACACTCACATAAGTCAGAAACTTCCAAATAACTGCTCACTTGAAGGTAGGCTTATCTGTATTTTTACCTAGAATTCAAGGTAATTTTAAAAACATGAATTCTGCAAATGCAGTACAGTATTATGACTACTCAGCCTATGAATATTCAGATCAGGACATTACACATTATCAATTAACAAGAGACAATTCAAATCCTCTACAGCAAGAACAAATTAATGTTCATTTCTGCTATGAGGCTGCCTCACAGAAAAGAAAAGAAGACAGGGAGCAGGAAGAGATGATGAAGGTGGAGGAACAGAAGTGAAAGATTATATAAAAATAAACTGCAGAATTTACATTCATTTTGTTATTTTGCTGTTCAAGAAACACTCATTAAAAATGTATCCATTTTTGATGACATGGGCCTCAAATATTTTTATTTTTAAAACTTCTCGTGAATTATGCTGATATCTGCAACTCCTGCACTCTGCTAAAATTAAAATCTGTGTTTGGAAATTCATGTTTCTGTGTTGTTACAGATTACAAATGAGACATTTTCTTTTTTAGTTTTCACAATCTGTTTCAATAATTGGGTAAAGTTTACAGATAAAATCCTACAGAATAAAAAATGAACATGCAGAATTGTCCTAGCTGTTCTTTTATGATAAACAGAGATGGGAAGCATGAGTGCACATCTTTTGTACATTATGAACTGTTAGAGTAACTGCATCTTTGATGTCAATGTTCATGTACCTTTAGGAGTGCATTTCATACATACAAAATTAATTTTATTGTTACTTATGCAGGATTCTACCTACTGTATACTTATGTCATGTAACTTGCCTAGTGCAGAATCCAGAGTAAAGCTACAAAGCAAATCCTCCTAACAAAGAAGCTGTACATAAGGCTTAGTGGCAGCAGTCTTCTGTAATGTACTGGCCTGTATTAAAGTGTGAGCAAGTGGTACCGAACAGTCATCTGACAATTCTGTTGGCACCACAATTTGACAAGACAAGGCAATTATTTTACACCAGTAACTTATAATGTTATTAATAACAGACACTTGAAAATGCTTGTTCAAATAAATATTCTTGGTGTTTGCTCAAAGAAATTACTGTTTTCTTCTTGTCTCCTAGTGCCATAGGTTAAGGAGCTAAGAAACTACTTACCTTCTTGATATTTAAATAGCTCATAAGATATATGGAGCTAGTGTTCCTCCCACATACTAGCTCCAGGTCTCAGTTCCTTATTTCAACATTAAGTACTGTAAAATAACTTTACTGTGCTTTAAGAAAAGGATATTAGTTGGGATTACAATCTATCTAAATAGTATCAAGATAGTGTTACTAGAAGCTGATTTTTATTTAAACTAATAAATATTTCTTAACTCAATGTTGTATAATAATGCAAATTTTAAACAATGACCTGAGCTTCTATTCAAATTTTGCACAATGATGTAGAATGTTATATGACCACACATTGTCAACTGCACAACCTCTGCAAGTCTCCTGGCCCACTGTGCAAAGGAAAGACGGTTCCTTACTTCCAGCTACTCGTGAGTCCAGTGTCATGAAAATGAGCCTGCTTCAAATCAGAAACTGTTTCTGACACAAAGCCTTTATTATAGGGATGTTTTATGGGTTCAAATCAACACCCACAACAAAATATCAAAGATGACACCAAAGAAAAGTGTTCTGACAAACTTGGTAAGAAAAGACTGCATTGGCAATAAACAAATCTACATATATACCAGAAGTACAGTTCAAACATAATCTTGATATAGCACTTGATGGATGATTTTCCAAAACACCCACTGAAAGTAAATCCTAGATATTCTACTGTGTTGAGGCACAAACCTAAGTTGCAACAATTCTTTATAAATTATGAGCTTATGCTTCAGTTATGAGAAATTGGAATTTACCTTTAATGGAGGATTTATTTTCACTTTTATCCATACACTGCAGAGAACTGTTTCAAAAACATTTATAAAATCTTGCTCATTTTTTTAAATAGGGCCATTTTGTAGAATCCATTGAAATAAACAAATTAAGAAAATATTTCAGAAGTACATCTTAAATTTTCATGGGGTTAAAAACCCCATAGTGAAGGAAACTTGTATCTTTATACACAATATTAAATTAAAGTTATGTATCATTCTGCCATTCTTTCTCCAGTATGAGAACCACTTTATCTGGATATAATCATGCTTCACAGGAAGAATGGTCAGATCTTCAGACACTTGTGCATGTACTGTGTTTCTGAACAGAAGCTCACTTCTTCTTATCAACAGCATGACCTGAACCGGGGTCTTGCTGACATTTGCGAGACACACACAATTTACTCTTCATTCACTCTGAAGGTGTCAGATCCTTCTCAGTCTCTCCCTCTGTTAACAGCTGTGTTAACAACTCATACACTGGCTCAAATGCTTTACAGTAGCCAGAGTTTGTTAGGTGAAGATAATCGTGCATGTCATGATGACTGATTGTGCCATCTAATTGGATAAATCCCTTGTCAATTACAACAGTCTCACACTTTGGCACTGCAGAAACTTTGGAATGCACTAATTTATTTACTTCAGCATTACGGTCTCTCAAGGGATTGGGATTTTGTCCTCTTGGAAGCAATGTCTAGGGAAAAGAACATAACATTGAACAATCTGCTCAAATAACAGCAAAACTATGCAAACACTATGGTGTGAGAATCTGAAGGTTTAGTGCCACTAATATTGAAGTCTGCCAGTGAGCTTAATCAAGTGTCAGTCCTCGCATCCTCACACTGCATCATGTTATTTCCTTGTTTCTCCAGTTTTAGCTATATACACAGCTCATGCCCTAGATTTTATTACTATAACAGTTTTAGGTGACTTGTATAAATCAAATATTGTGGAGCTATTTCAAGGAAATGGCGGCTCTGGTCTAGGAAACCGAGATTAACGGACTTGGGGATCCATGGTGCTGACCACGTGAATCCCTCCATCCGCTAAAGTTGGCACTAACTTAGCTGACAAGCAGTGATCGCTTGGTCGGTATAGTTTGCTTGCAGACTACAGGCCACGGAGCATAAATCACACAGTTCATTATGTAATACTGTAAATTTCCAATTTGCTTTACTTGTCCCAGGTCTATATATTTTACCAAAAAATTATTTTCAGTAATTAACATTCTTCACCCTTAGTGAAGAGTCCACAAAACTAAGCACCATCACCATGCCTTCTTAACCTTGGTGCCAGATGGAGATGTGTAGTCAGCCTCATGCACCAAGTGCTTTATCTCGAAGGGAAAGACCCCAGTATCCACTGGCTGTACTTGTTTGGATACAGCGGTGGCACACTTCAGGAGAACATAGTTGCCTATAACTACACCAAAGTTTCAGGTGGACCACATAAAGGCTACTTTCTTACAGCAAACCTTTAGTTCCTATAAATCTTAAATTGTTAATAATTCATTCAGGCAATTTAAATGTATAATCAAGCAATAAAGTGTGATTTAGCTTGTATGCTGGACATGCACACAGGTCAAATCAAATCCTAACTGAGCTAAATTTCTTAATACTACTAGTACTTAATAACTACTGTTATTCTTGTTTTTGTTTCTATATGTACGTTTATGGTAAATATTCCAACCAAATTTCCAATGTCTATCTCAGATGTTTTACAAGTTATTGCCAGAAAACTTAAAGTTAAATACAAAGTCCAAGTATATGACATTTTGTTGTTTTCCATTCTTTAAAATAATTTACTGCTTTTCAAACACCTATTACCATACAACATTTCAGGACCCTGAAATTACTGACCACATGAAATAAAAGAATTACAAATTTTTATGAACACCATTCATTAAGTAAGTTTTGAGGTTTTCACGGCAATCACTATGAAGAAAGTCGTCTTCTGGGTTTAGGCACCGTGTATTCTTCGTTTTGCCCAAAATGAAGAATACATGGTGCCTAAACCCAGAAGACGACTTTCACCATTCACTAAGTTCAGAGGTTGTGCATGCATGCATGCACGCACACAAATAATAGTGATCTTTCCTTGAGAAAGATGGCTAAAATAGTGGACATACTGGACACGAAGGACCAATCTATGGCATGAATATGTTCATGAGTAACTACACCAATATCTCTATCCAATCACCTGCTTATGCCAGCTGTTATATTAGTCTTCAATAGGAAACAGGCATAAACTTCAGTGTGCCATGCAATTTAGAAGTAAACTGGATGCACAGTAAATTAATTTCTTACTTATGGCTGGTCCTTTCAATGAACATTCCATCAGGAATAAGAATGTTGATCAAAATCTTATAATAATCAAGGTAAAACAAAAAGTTTACCGGTAGAACAATGTATGCATCAGGTTGTTTTTCACGAATCACTCGTACTAATTCCATTATTCCTTCTGCAATTTGTTCTGCAGTGCAATGAAAATTATTTGTTCCTGCAAGCACCACAACCACCTAAAAGAGGAAGTGGTACAATTAAAACAAGCTACTGGGATTTCAATTTTAAAGCATAATTGACTTCCAATCCTCTCCATGCTTAGTTTTATTTGGCAATTATGTTAGATTTTGCTTGTATGTATCCTTGGTAACAACAGATATACTTCTAATGGTAAACAATTAAAATATATAATAAAATATGACAAAGAGACATATTTTTACTGATACTCTGAAATATCAATGGTGTTTAGAGCAGGTGGTTAGTGCCTCAATGCAAAATATCTCATTCACAGAACAAAAGAGGATATCTCTCATTAGCTCTGCCAAGTACAGAATGTTCCATAATTTTCTGCAAAAACAAGTTGCTCCTACTACTCAGTATCAGAACATACACTGCAACTTCTACAGCAGAAGTTGTTTATTTTCGTTTTTACTATAACGCCTTTACAGAGGATCAAATAGGACACTACTTGGTAAGGCATGATTAAAATTATTATGAATTTATATAAATAATAGGAAAGAGTTTATGTCTACATATGTTACCTGGTTCATTCTGTGTGATGTTCTCCCACCACAGTGGTTTTCATACTTACACAAGTGGTTGCTCTCTGTTCAATACTGTGCTATCTGAAGGATAAAGATGTAACTTAATTTCGTGTTCTAGGGAGAAATGAGATAACAAGGCAAGGTATAAAATGGAAGAAGGAAAAAAGAACGGGCAGTCGAAGGCTCAAAGTACTAAAGAAATGACAGCCCATTAACTTTCAATGGACTTTTCTATAAGTAAACATGAAATTTTGATGGCACCATATATAAAACAATTTTAATATTAAAATTTGTGGACATGGTTACAACTTCAATCACATCAAATTTCATATGCCTAACTACAATGGCTTATCAGTTATAAAAGCAGAATTACTGTTATGACAATTTCATTATGTCATTTAATAAACAATTATCTTTTACAGAAGTGTAATATTTGTTACCTCTTTCTAAGGGACCCTACAGAGCAGGTGTCTCCCCCCCTCATTTGAGGACGGAAAAAGATCCTGTTTCTGAAACACTGTGTTTTCTGGTTTTTAGAATACTAGACAATGGACAAAAATCTGAAAACGCAATAATTCTGAGTGTTATACACCATCGTCAGAACCCTTTTAAAATCTTCCTGTTACACATTACTTGCATATATCACATTCAATTGTCAGGTATTACATTTTTTTTTTGTATTTTATTAAATGTTCATCATACAGAAATATGTTTCAAATAAAAGTTGTAGATTAATGAAACCTGTATTTTATGTTAGGCGACAATTTTTATATAATGAACTCTTTTTATATAGTTTATAGCTTTGTTTCATTTCTTATAAAATAAGAGTTAGAATGGATAAAAAGGCAGTTAAATTTATTGTGATTAACTATTGATTTGGTATTGATAATATGGTTGTACTGTTTACATACTGTTTGGCTGGTGCCTTGTTTTACAGTGTATTTTGTCCGCTATATACCGCTATATGTCCGCTGGAATATAACAACAAGACTGCAACACTGACTTCATAATATGAAACATTACATGAATAGTTTTTAACCATATTTTATTGCATAACTTTTGTTTTATACTAATTTTATAATTGTATTATGTTTTTATACCATGTATTAGTATAGTGTAACACAGCTGTCACGTATCCAGCTCTACTGTCACACTGAAATGCAGTTCAATAGTGTGTGAGTGCAGTAACCATGTATTTGCCTGATGATGCCATTAAAAGCCGAAATATGTAGCTAAGGTGATGCTGACCTGACTGTTTCGTTGTTGTGTTACGATGGATCCCAATAAAGAATTGTATATAAGTTTGATGTGTTTCATTCTGGTCCGTCACACTAACAATTACAAATATAAATCACTCCGTCCAATGTGACCTGTAAGTTTTTTACTACATGAAAACTTACAGGTCACATTGGACGAAGTGATTTATATTTGTAATTGTATATAATAACACAACAAGAGGCACACAATGAAGATTCTGTTACAAGTTTGGTGCATGATACCGCCATGTATGTGTTCCCTAAACATCTCAAATACGTAATCACCATATTGCAAAGTTGGTTTGAAATCACTATAACGTAGACAAGCCCATAATAAAATCTGATTACCTTGGGATTAATGTGATCCAGTTCTCCATTTTCAACCCGCCATAAAACATTCTGTATCTGATCACCACCTATGCCGAAGTTCAGAGCATGCATGGGAGCAAAGAAGTTGTTCCACATTTCAGTGTGAACCAATCTCTGTATTAGAGAATCACCAATAAATACAACATCTGGTTCCTTTTCTTTTGTTTCCATCAGGAAACGCTTGTGCTGTAAAGAAAGTACTTATTGAAACTGAAGATTAATGAAGGGTTAATTACACAATTACACTTTCAGGTTATGCATATAACTTTGGCTTTTGGGATTCACCCACACTATGTACTGAAGGCATTTCAGTATTTCGGCACCATTGCAGTCACCACCTTCAGGGTGATTGTGAAAGGAAAGACGAAGTGGACAGATATACATATTTTGGATTAAGAGGTGGGGTGTGGGGGACAGTATCAAATGGCTCAGAATTTGAACTCAGGATCCAAATAAGCAGTGCTAACTAATGACATTCTCTTTAATGGATGTGATGCAACCAATTATTGTTATACTCATGGAATTACTCTTCTTTTGGTTCTTAACCAACTGAAAGTCAGTTTGTTTTGAGAAGCAAGCCTAGACTGGGATTTTTATCTATTTCAAAATTAACAGAGATAAAAACAATTATTCTGCATATATCCTTAATTCTTGGAACACGAAATGATGTGCTACATAAGAGTACACTCTATGTCATAAAGTAATTGCATGTCATGTCATAAGCGTCTGGAAATTGATACTATCCATTTAAAAAAATTTAAAAGTTTACAGTGTAAAATGAAACCAAAATATGGCAGATGGTGACTCTGTTTTGCAGTCTGCTTTACACTACACTGAAGAAAAATTATTTTTTTAAAATCTTGAACTATGAACAAAAATTATGATAGGCAAAAACAGTTGTGCCACACGTGCAAAATGGTTACAGATGGTGACAGTGTTTTATATTCTGCTTTATACTACATAGAAGAGGAAGATCATTTTTATTCTTGAACCATAAATGCATATAAAGTTAGGCACATACAGTGTCATGGCTGCTAAAGGGTTAATCTGTATTATTCTTTTTAAATCAGATTTACTAGAATTTGTCTTTTATGCATCTGGGTTATTTTGGAATATATATCTATGGCTGCCTCAATGGGAATTTGATTGTCTGTTCCATTTGCATGTTATTTATTACAAATTATTTTATCAATTTCAGATGCTCTGGTACTACAAAGATGGGTGACAAAGTTTCTGCAATGATTCATTTCAAAGCTTCTTGCATTGGCTGCACTGCTTATTTTGCATGCAGGTAAAGCACAAATTCCCTTCGTGTTTGGGAAATACTTTCGACCTTAACCAGCCAGTTGTAGTGTCGTTGTAACAAAATTAACTTTGCATTCCACATTCCATATGTGCCAAAGAGAAGCAGAAATTTTTTTAGCTCTAATTAATAATGGAGAATCGAAATGTTTCATTTTTGGGCATTTCAGGAATCACATCTATTTCAGACACAAGAGTAGTAAAATACGGAAGTCGTGCATGCAATCAATATTTTGGAGACTTAACATACTGTTAAATTTTAGATGTAAATGATGAATGGAAATTCACAGTATTGTATCATATAAGTTACAGTAAAAGAATAACTTACAGCAGTTTTTTTCTTCATACATATTATGTAATAGATTATAAAAAACTTTCTTTAAACTTTCTTGTAAAAGCAGTGAGTACTAGGAACACCATAAATGCACAAAAATGAAAATTTTGCAAGGGATGGGGACGACCTTGTTAATAATACACAAATTTATAAAATTTTGGACTGTCAAGTCTCATACTGACGTGTTAGAAAAAAAGGAACTACAAATTATTCAAATCATCCAATCTTTTTCCAAGATGTCTGTTAGGCATTCTGAATTATGACATTTCTATATCTACGATACTCAACGTGACCGGTGACACTCATGAATATCTAGCTATCAGTAAGTCACTTGTCGAGGCTTTCACAAATTATAGCGTATATTAACAGATTGTTAACTGAATACGAAAGAGCTCACCATTTTCTTAATTGTTAAATCTTCAATATGATGTTTATATAATCACAATTACCGGTCTTTATCACAAATATCAATACCACAATGCAATACCCTCCGTCAAAACACGGTTGGGAGGTTAGGTTCCGTACTAATTCAATGGACATGCCTATTTAAGTTTTCTTACCATACTTATCCACCTTCCATCGCCGTGTATGTCTTCAACGGGAGTTGGTATAGTCGCAGGATTCATAGTTTCATAAAGTGATCGTATAATGTAACTGCAATGCAAACATCCAAATTGAAACCCACACTTCCTTTGACGATAACGGCACAGAGTCACATCAATGCTTTATAACAGCGTAAAGGCACGGATTACAATCAGTTTGGGGTCACCGGAATCAATTATCTGTGCTCAAATACGCTGTGGTATAACAGCCAGTCACAGATTACTAGATTACTACATTTCGTTTCAAAAGGTAAATTGACCCACTTGGCCCTGTGCTTAATTAGTTCAGCAAACGTCATGACTGATACCGACTGAGCTATCTCGTCTTATCAGATTCTAGCGATATGAGGTTCTCACTGTACTCATAGCGGTGGCAATGAGACATACGGTCTTATGGGATGAAACGTCATGTATTTCAGCCGTATGCCGCCTGCATCTTGCTTGGCTTACTGTACGACTCTAAAGGATGAGGCGGTAGGTTTCTCTGAAACGTCGAATACACGACGGTTCAACCCAAAATATCGTACTCGTCACGTGCATTAAAGTTCCAGTTCGAAATACATGCTAGTCTTGGTGGAGTTTACCTACTGAACTGGCCTTATTTGAGCATCTTTTCTTTGACAAATGTATTGTGACTGTGCCAGTATACCTAGACATGTTGGAGGTATTTCTCATTCCTATTTTGGAGAAGAGTCTCAATGACATGCTGTTCCAAGATTGAGCACCTCCACATGTTTCAGAAGGATGCAACTGACTTCATAACAACTTCCCAGGAAGCAGATGCACAGTGATTGGCATATCACTTGGCCACCTCTTTTGCCCAACCTTATGCCCCTCAATCTTTTTCTTTTGGGAGTACATCAAGGAAGCTGTGTTTGTGCCACCACTGGTACCATTTTGCCAGAACTTTCTGGGAAAATAAGAGCTGCAGTGGCTACAGTTCTGACTTGTCTAATACACAGATTGAAGTTTAATACAAATAATGACATACAAGGTGTGACAATTTAATTCCCAGAATGGCCGCTGTGCTGAGGTGAAATCATGTATCCTAGCACGTTTGGACATGTTTCAGCTTGCATTTACATGAGAGGCAGACCAAATGAGTCGTTCATTCCCAGCAACAGAGGAAGTAGTACGTGTCCGCGGTATACTGTTGGTGGAAAAATGAGTGACAAGAATTTGGAGCAGCAGATAAACACCAAGTTTGTGTGAAGTTTGCTAAAAATGCTCGTGAAACGTTAGCCCTATTAACAGTGGCTTATGGTGAATATGCTACGAAGAAACCTAGTGTTTCTGAATGGCACAGGCAGTTGAAGGAAGGGCTAGATGTGAAAGATGACCCAAGAAGTGGGCAGCCAAAAGCGCAATGGGCAGGTGAAAATGTGGACAGAGTACAAACCTTGGTGCACTCAGAATGAAGATTAGGTGTAAGACTAATAGCAGAAGAATTGAATATGAATAGGGAAACAGTTCGACAGACTGTTATGGAGGATTTGGGAATGAGAATAATTTCCACAAAGATGGTGCCTCGAATCTTGACAGATGACCAGAAACAACATCAGCTTCACATCACCTGATCTTTTACACAATGCAGAGATGTTTGATAGGGTCATCACCAGTGATGAAACACAGCATTTTCAAAACAACCCAGAAATAAAGTGCCAGAGCATGCAGTGGAAAACACAAAATTCAAATCAGCTGAAAAAAAAAACCACACGTTTCGCTTGTAGTTCAAGACCACGCTTGTATGTTTCTTCAATCACAAGGGGATAGTTCACTATGAATTCATTGCTCAAGGACAAATGGTGAATCAACAGTGTTATTTGGAAGTGCTGACAAGGTTACGGGAATCCGTTCAGAGGAAAAGACCTGAACTCTGACCTGACAAGTGGATTCTACACCATGACAATGGCCCTGTGCATGATATGTCGAGTTTGCGAATTCCTATCTAAGAAGTCCATTACATCCACCTTATTCACCTGACTTAGCCCTCTGTGATTTTTGGCTCTTTCCAACATTAAAAATTGCCCGGAAGGAATAAAGATTTGCTGACATTACTGCGCGGTATTCTGGGAAACGATTCTCAGAACTGTTTCTGGCAGTGGCACCATCACCTCACAGAGTGCATAGCTTCACAAGGAGCGTATTTCGAAGGTGACAGCAGCTGCTAGTGCACAGGTAATCAAATTTTGCTTTCACAGGGCCATTCCACAAATTAAATTGTTGCATCTTGTATGCCAGGCCACTTATAGTATCTGCATTTTAACACCTGTAAAATGTAAGTAACAAAGACTTCAACCTACTCAAATGCCTTTATTTTTAATCTGTCCACTTCAGTTCATCAGCACTGTCACAGCAAAATGGTATACATGTGTACATATGTTGAGCCGTCTCTCAAGGGACTGCAGGGACAAGTTGGAGGATGCCAGGCTAGTGTACATATGCACTGCTCCGTTCTGTGATCTAAAGGAAATACAAGCAATTTGTCTATTTTTTTTTATTTGTTTCATTCTGGTCCATCACACTAACAATTATAAATACAAACCACTCCGTCCAATGTGACATATAAGTTTTTACTACGTTAAAACTTATCTCCCTTACATGTTTTGGTCCTTACGGGTCATCTTCAGAGGGAACATCATTACAAACTGGAAACTACCATCAGAATAGGTGTTTTGATTTAAAACACATACACTTATATCCTATTATGCACAGTACGCTTAAAGTCGAACGTTTCAAAATCACAGCAGCTTCCTGGTGTTGTAAAGTTTTTAAAAGTTCCTAGATGTTATTTAAAAAAACCTTTATTGTCAATAGTTAAAATTTTTTAAACCACATAGGTTCATGTCCGTACTCCTATCGTCCTCCTTGTATGGGGCAGATTTTGTGCCGCCTGTCTATCTTGACGAGAAGGTTCTTGATGTCTTCCAGGGTTTGTTCGTGGCTTGCTGTGTTGCTTTTCACTGTGATTGTGAAATGTTTGACTTTATGCGTACTGTGCATAATAGGATATAAGTGTATGTATTTTAAATCAAAACACCTATTGTGATGGTAGTTTCCAGTTTGTAATGATGTTCCCTCTGAAGATGGCCTGTAAGGACTGAAACATGTAAGGGAGATAAGTTTTAACAGAGTAAAAACTTATATGTCACATTGGACGGAGTAGTTTGTATTTATAATTTGTCTAATATTATGAATAATGGAATTTCCTAGTATATCATTATGTACTAGCCATTTTGCTGTACCAAACTGCTTTCCACAGGAAAGGCAGGGAATGCAGGATTAAAAAAAACTGATGCAGAGTGAACTCATTTATCAGTACAACAAATATGGTTTAATACAGTAAAATATAACAACCTGTACAGTAGTTACAAAGTCAGATGTAACAAAAATCAGCCCAGGTTACTCATCTGCTGGTAGATACTTCTGAATTAGATGCAGCAGTTTCTGGTACAGGAATGATTGTCTGCAATCAAAGCCATCAGTCAATGTTTAAAGTTACTCCTGTTCCAAATCTTCATGATATTAAGCTTCAAAGACCATGAAGAGGAGGTAATACCTCAAGCATTCTTAATATATGGAAGGATTCCAGTTCTCAGACAGCTTTAGTATTATGTTCACAATGGATTAATGGAAAGATTATTATTATTATTATTATTATTATTATTATTATTATTATTCAGAGACTGACACAGGCACTCACACATATGGGCATAACAATGCATCTACAAAAAGGGAACTAAAATTAATTCAGTGTCAGAGATAGAGAATTTGGGACTGACAAGGGTTGCAGCTCTTAATGCTGCTAATAATTCAGAGACAAAAAAGACATGAGAATGATGTCAGCAATGTTTTGGAGGAAAAATTAAGAGGGCTTAATACACATACACAGAATAATCCAGACAGCTTACCGACTGTTTGGTTTGCAGATGTGGAAATGATCTTGCGGTATTTCAAAGAACTCACCAACGCCAGGATCTGAAAAATGAATACATATCTTAAGTCTGACAAGTGCAGACATGTGAATGTAAGTGTACAAACATTCAGATATAAATGTACTCACTCGCTGATTCAGTGGGCACAAACTTAAGCTGCAGATGGAGGGATGAGATATGTGTGGGCTTAGTTTCAGCAAAACTGATTACTTCAATATTTGCCTTCTCCACCAAGTTCAGAAACTCAGTATGCAGACAGAGTAGTGCTGGATAATCTATAAATACAGCCATACACATAACAGCAATATCTTTTACATGTCCAGAAACATATTATTTGTATTAATGTACCACTGTCACAAAATTTTAGATCTTTTTTATTTTTATATGTTCTTTGTACAAAATGAATGCATAACAGGACATAGTCATAGTCATGTAAGCGTGTTTCATTTCCAACCTTACTTAAAGGAAGTCATTCAAAACCTGTTGTTCAGAATTTAATTTTGGATCCTAATGCTACACACAATGTTTTAATGTAATGGAAACATGAAACTTGACCAATCAAACAAATTATAAGTGAGAGTGATTGTACAGAAAAGAAATATGTCTACTACATAATTACTATGTTAAAATTTCTAATAAAATTGACTTCAATATTTTACTTATCTTAGTATAAAAATTATATGCAATAGGGGAAAAAGACCTCTAAGCATTAATCAAACTATATCATGACAGGTATAGCACAACTGCCTCAGCACTAACAAAAACTCAAACTCCGTGATTTTAGTCCACAAGCGAACAGGTCAAGATTTAATAAAATAAATCTGTTCTTCAACTTCAACAGCCAATTACAGGGGGCCACAATGCACATATGCACAAGCCGAAGTACTTACTCTCTCGTAGTTCCCGCACTTCCACTGATGGCCACCAAAGCAGCTGAGCAACTTGTGTCAGATAAACAAGTGGTGAGCCTCGGTGGGGCACACTATAGAACACCACTGCCTTGGTGTTGTCGCACAATCCACGCATTTGCTCATCCCCATCCTTGGATGCTAAATCCATGTCAAATTCTACATCAATTCTGTACATCTCACTGTACAGATACAAATACATTGCTATTATATTGTTTACCTGTGCATGGAATCTTTCATGTCTTTGAAGGTTATCACTGTAATCTGATGGTACAATTATCTAACCTGCATAACAGTGGAAATAAACTGACTGCTTATCAATATTAATTTATCCACCATGGGTATTTCCAAGGGGGAAGGTTATAAATGCGAAGATAAACAATGCTGCACAGACATCTAAATGGTAACCAACTTCTTGGAGGAACCTATAGGCTCCCTCTTCTAATCTGAAGATGGAAGCAGAAGGTTGTTTTGAAGTATTCATAACCACTTATAGGTCCATGTATTGGCATCTTCTTAGAGACTACATCTAACTTTTCAATGACATGAAATCACATACATTAAAATACCCAGGTCAATAAGGCTGTAGACCAAATGTAAATTGACAGGTTTATGGTAGTAAATATTGTACTGCACTGCATCTGTTTTATGCTACTGAACATAAATAACATTCAAAATAATTTACTTTCTCCCATATCAACCTTAATGTTATTTTTTTCACTTCCTTTTCACCCTTTCACAAGTGCGTTGAGAAGACCTCGGAGCTGATGGGAGGATAAATCTCACTGAAATAGACTGTGAAGGTCAGAGATCCATGGTACCATCTGAAGATTGTGTGAGATTGCAGTATTAGTGGTGGTGTTGGAATCATTCTTAGTTACCGATTTCTCTGGTTATTTATTTTTATGAACATTAATATAACACAGACTTTCCACTCTTAAAGGAAATTTTGGTGGTTCTCCAGCAAAGAAAACATTTCTTTGTAGCCATTTTATAAGAGCAATATCTGGTAAGGTTTGTTTAGACAAGCAACAAAAACTGATCAACTCTGGCAAATGCTTTGCAACTTTATTGCTACATACTGCCAACAATGTTGAGGAAAATGTATTGCTATGGCAATTAGCTTCCAGTGTTGCTGCTGTCACGCTGCCACTGCCATGACCACAGTTATCATGGGGGTCATAATTATTGTTATGAAGACTGGAGTCTTCTGAAGAAAGCAGTCTTCTGGGATTTGNAAATGTAGTTCGGAGACATCTCTTTCTGAACTACATGGAGGTGCAATCCAGAAGATATAGTGTTCATAGTCACTGATGTACAGTGCCTTGAAAATTAGGTCAGATTTGAGTTTGAAGCTGAAAGTTACCTTTGGTTAGCATGGACTTGACAAGAAGTCCACCCATAGAGTGGGCAACCCACACAATAGGTCGTGAGCCAAGACCAGCCTGTGTTAGTTTCTTCATCAATTCCTTGCTGCGATATTCCAAGTTCCTCCTGCAGCCATGACAGAATGAGACACTAAGATAATCAATAACTTTGCCAGGCAATCTGGGAGTTGGGAATTTTAAATCCCCTGGTCTGGTGGACAGATTTAAATGTCATCATCTGCTGCTCTACTGTCTTCATCAAGTTCTTTCACTGTCAAATATGACAGCTTAAGCAGAGTCATTCTCTGTTATTAATCCATATTCAAAATATACTCTGCAAATGCACTACTAGCACCCCAAGGACCCAGCTTCATGGAGCTGGCTGGTAATTCATACAGTACTTTTGGTTATTCACTTAAACTAAGGTACATAGTGTACTCCTTCGGCTCTCACTCTAATGGAAAAAGACAGACTGTGTTTGAGAACAAAGTGCTGGGAAGAATATTAGAGCATAAGAAGATGGAGAAGATTACATAATGTGAAGCTGCACAGTGCACACTCTACTTGATAAAAGGTGATTAAATCAAGTAGGATAAGATGGGTAGGCGACATATGCACGAGAAAGTTGAGAAGTGGCTACATCATTCTTGCCAGAAAGCCTAAAGGGAAAAAAATGCTTGGGAGACCAATGTATGTGCGTATATGAGATGACAATAATAAAATGGATCTCATACAAACTCTTCAAGAAGAGCTCTGCTGCATGGAGTTAGTTTAATGCTCCTTATAGTTAGTCACAATAACAAAAGACGTGAAAAAACTGATGACTCACGTGATGCTCTCAACAGGACATATGTTAGTCCACATGGACAAATTGCTATCATAGTTCACACCAATGATGCGCAAGTGATGACAGTCCTGTGGGAGCCAGTCATGTGGCCAGCACATTGAGAATGTCTTGCGGTCCTCCAGTGATTGTCGAACAGAAGGATGACAACTGCACAGAGAAAAGCTTTATATCATTTCATGATTTATTTAAATTGTATTTAACGGTGACACATCAGACAAATTCATTATTTAGTATTCACATATGCTCAAGTCTTGATTCTCACTCACACAATGTAAGGTACCATATCTGTATCTTTATTTTAATTCCATAGATCCTACCAAAGCTATCAGATATAGAACATGTTACATATGCATACATTAGTTCTTAACACAGAACTAGTCACCTTACAGTTACATTCAAAAGGGAAACAATAATTATACATAATTCAGTAATTTAACAAGCATATAGGAATATAGGACTCACAAACTTGAGAGTAATACCTTACTAAGACCATAGCTTAAATATATAAACAAATATCAGATTATAATCAATTAATTTATACAATGTACTATATAAACAGCTATATATAATGTTTAATTCATCTAATGTATAAAATGAATGGAATTACAAAAAAAATTTTCAAGGCCGATTTAAACTGTTTTGTATTATGGGACAAGTCCTTTATTGGAACAGGTAAACTGTTAAGCACCTTAATCCTTGTATAAGTTCCCTTCTGATAAACTGAAAAATGAGATGGTGGGTGATGCAAATCAGGTTTGGTCCTAGTGTCAAAATTATGTATCTCAGAATTTACTTTAAAATGATCGTTTATTATTGAATTATTATATTATTTATGAAATAAATTTTAATAAATAATAATATATTATATTATGAAAGTAATAATTTTAATTCTTCTCTACATGAATCTCTATCTCTAAACCACACCATAATGCTAATAATTCCTTTTTGTAGTACAAAAATTATATTGCCATAATAACAATTTCCCCAAAATATTAGCCCATAAGTCATGATAAAGTGAAAATAGGAATAATATACCATCTTCAATGATTCGTGGAACAAGAATGGCTTAATTGTCCTGTAGTTACAGTTGCATATCATATACAAAACACTAACAGTAGTTTGATAACAAACAGGTTGATAATAATGCATTTACTCATGTAACTGCATCTCCTTTATATTGACAGGATGGCTACTGATTATGTTGCAGTCCTCCTGCTTCCATGTCCCATCCTAGTGGATTGATGGATGGATCTGATTCCACAATAAAACAGCATATGTCTAACTCTGGATTAAAAATTATTACTGCTATTGGAATCATGGACATAATTCCGCCTCCTCTTACCATTCTAATAGTCTGATTGCCTGAAATCATCAGGAATTTCAGCTTGGTCTTAAAACATGTTTAAATTATTCAATCACCAATCATATTAATTAGTGCATGTTTTAATTAACTGCTGTTGCTGCAATCTCTGTGCGCACTGCTGTTCACATCTGTCACTTTCTTAAAGATCACAAGGAGGATTATAGTAATAAAATGTCCATACTTGTGTATCAAATATTTAAAACTTAACTTCCAAAATAATCATCTGGCATGAAAAAATAAATAAAAAGAAACATTTCATCATCTTGCCAACAATGTACACTACATGTCACAAAACTGTGTTGACATTTCTAAATTATAAGTGCAATTGTATGTAATAATAAGACTATCTTCTGGGACAACACATGACATGGCCTGGCAGACAGGTACTAATATGTTGAAGGAACCTGTCATCTCCATCTTTAGGGTATAAGAAGTGAGCCCATCAGTAAAACAATATATTATATAGGGAAGAAAAGGTTGGGACTGGAGCTATGAGTAAGCCAGTGGAAATGTACTTAAAAGGGCTGTTTTCTCAAGGGAGTGGGGGGAGGAGGAAGCATAAGAGAACATAAGAAGGGGGGAAAAGAACAAAAGAAAAAAAGAAGTGTAAGATGAAGCTAGTGGGGTAAAAAATGGAAGAGAAAAGAAGGCAGAAAAAGAGAATGAGGAGAAAGAAGAAATGAGACCCTGAAAATGGCAGTTATCAAGGAGCCCTTATAAGGATCACCAAGTTACAGAAACCAAGTCAAAATATATACTTGGAAAGGGTCTTCCTGCAGTCTTTCAGGGTATAAATAAGGTGCTTTTATGTCTTGATGAGAGAGAGGCCATACTCTCTGTTTATGTTGTGATTTGGAGAAAAGGCACTGGACTTGTGTGCAAAAGTCCTGAATTTAAGATCAGCCAGATTCACTTCGCACACTTCCACATGCTCTTCCCTCCCCTCACCTTCTGACAAAAAACAGTTTGAGAGCTACAAAGCCCTCATTATGGTTCAAAGTCCATGTTGCAAATGGAAGAGTCTGCTTCACAGAAGCCTTCATATCAGAAATGGTGTCTTCACCACTGACAAAGCAGGAACAACTGGCTACAACTGGAGTAAATGTCCACAAAAGGTTTCTTCTGAAAATCTGTATACTTCTTCTGAGACCATGGAAACTTACCCACTATACGAATATGGTCCTTTACCCTCAACATTTGCATTCTCTGGGCAGTCTGAGAGAACCACTTCAAAATCTGACCCTAACATGTCCCATTCATCCTGCTTGAACTCAGTCACATCTCCCAGATATTCCTTCATCCGCTCATCACTTATATTGCAGCCTATGTCTCTTCCACCTTTAGAGCTGCTGCTTTTTTCTGAAAACAAATGATGTATCATGCTTCATCACATAACAAGTGTCACTGTGTTACACATCGCACAAATTTAAATTTCTCAAGTTTAAATCTTTCAAATAATTTTATATATAGGTAGGTACTACCAAAAGTACTCATTCTTTAGCTGGGTCTTTTATAATCTTAACTGCAAAAATGAATGTGAGATTTGAGATTCCTGGATAAGCATCAAAGTTAGAGTCTTCTGGGATGTGACAACATGTAGTTGGGTAGATAAGTACCAGCATTTCAGAGGAACCTGCTGCTTCTATTTTTAGGGGGAAGTGGGAGAGGAAGATGGAGGCAGAGGGATTGTCTTAAATGCACTGTCTTCTTAATCTAAACTGTCTACTATTTAATTTGTAATACCCTTGAATACTTGGCTGCTTGCAAAGGAGATACATTCTATACCTGGAATTTGGAGTGAAAGTGCCAGTACTTTTATTCTAATGGTGGGACTTGTCCCACAACATGCAAACTCCGAGACTTTAATACACATAAATTTTGATCAGTTAAAATGTAACACACTTACGTAAGATGCTTGGACTTGTGTGTTCATGACCTCGCTGGCGCCATGTAAAGAACACTCCACCGAGGAGGCCGTGAATGAATACAACATCAAGTTTTGGTAAATCAACATGGCGCATGGTAGGATGAAGTAAATGCAGGTGTGATGAAAACTTAATTTCAGGTGTGTCATCCATGTCTAGGTTGGCCAATGCACGAGTGGCTGGTACAGAGAGTCGGATATCGGGATGCTGTTTCCACTGAGCCAGAAGCCCAATACAACCTGTTACATGTCATATAGACTCTCATAGCAGGTGTGAACAGTCATGATTATACATTCAAAGTAATAACATCCTATAATAGTTGCTCTGTGCCAAAGGATAATGCAATGAAGGCATAGAGAGAAAATGTAAGTATAGACCCACAGTCTAGACCTCAGCATTAGAGTGGAGGAGTAATCAGCTTCATTCTGGCCACTTTACTCCTGGAGAAAGAATGGTCAGTACCCAATGGATTTTTTTGTCATTGTCCACATTTCTGTTCCATATAAAAAAACCCCAGAATGCTAGTAAATTGGTCTCTATACTGGCAGCGCATGTGTGAGTGGAGCATGATAGTTCAGGGGAACAAATAGAGACCTTTCAAAGAGACTAGGAGACCAGAAAGACTCTTAGAGAAATTCTCTATCTAAAAAATTGTTAAAGAGATATCAATTACTCAAAATTATTGAAAATATTTCAATATGTATGACAAGACAGAAAAATAACATTATTAAAGCCAGCATGACTGATGTTTTCATGAAATTAACTTATCTGGAATGGAGTTCACTCAACTTTCAGGTACTTCCCATTCCCAATATCTTTCATGAAATAGTGCTTAACCAACTAAGGATGGGGACAACTTCAAACTTTTACCTTCGAATATATGAAAAGTGTATTGGGCATGAAATGTAGGTTTTATTTTTCTCTCCAACTTCTGTTTACAATATTTGTCATGCCAACAAATATTCAGTAAGTTGTGTGCGAGACATGCATAAAACGAATGTAGTCATCATCTAAAGTGTCCATTATTGTTGTACGACTGCAATTAAAATTGGAATATAACGGGAAATTTTAGTAACATTTCCCAACATCAAAATTCATGAAAATCTGTTATAGTTTTTGAGCTGAGATGACAGACAGCTGGACAGATGTAACTAAGGTAACAGGTGTATTTCTGCAACTTCATAAAATGCCAAGTTATCAGTAAGATCAACACAACAATATGGGTTAGACTAAGTGAGAATCTGCAAGATCACTGTTTTTGTCTTTCATCTAAGTAGGCAACCCTATTTTAAACTCAATTATGCCTTTATACAAATATTTAATACAGTTACTTTTACTCTCTATTTACATCTCAATGATTATGTCTTTTAGAAATTCTCTCCTTTTGTTCCTCAAGTTCAGCTAGTTTCATATTCCTTATATCTGTCACCACTCAACATAATAACTATGTTGCTTTCTACAAGCTGTGTTCTCATGTTGCCATTCACTGCTTGAACATCTGTTGTGTTTACGAAAGAAGCACGAGGTTTCTATGAACTTTACTCTGTATTAGAGGACTACATCATTAACAACACAAATATCCTGACAAAATTAAATGTTCCAAATATTACGTGTGAAACTGTGCAGTACCAGAATGAATTGGTTACAATACACACATATGTATACACTTGGTTGTCGACTTACAACCGACTTCCATTCTGACTGACAGGTCGCAAGTCGATCTTGTCGTATGTCGGCCATATATTTATTAACAGTATTTGTTAACCTTTCTAATCTTTTTATCATCTTTATAATTTATTTTAAAAATATTTTACATTTTAGTCATGATTTATTTTTCATTTTTTGTGGTTGTAAGTCAACGAGCAAGTGTGTGTGTGTGTGTGTGTGTGTGTGTATATAAGCACTGTAATATAAACCAGTGGGAGAAAGAAACGGTGGATGTTACTTACCAGCAGAAAGAGATGACAAGTTGACTTAATAAGACATCTACCCTTGCACATTTCTAGACAGTTCTCAATTACTGGCCTGTGTGTAGTTTTGAGAGCAATACAGATGACTCTCCTTTCATGTGTCAGAAGACTTCTTGAATACAATTTCATGTACTTTGCATGGATCATATGAATTAATTATCCATAAGTTGTAATGCTAAGAAAACAGCTACTTTTCTTTGAGCAGTCACATTTTTTGGTATTCAGGGTTGGAAATTTAACAGCAACAAGAAGTTCTGAGAATTCCTAAATGTTATTCTCCTATTCCACAAATTTCTAGTTCCACAGATCTTACGTTGTTAATAATATATGTAGGTAAGACACATTTATAATTCAACAACAAAATACAAATAAACTCAAAAGACAGTGTTCTGTGAACCCAACTTTGGTCACAGTTTCTTGTCATTTGCAATTGTAAATATGTAACAGAATTATGACAATAATGACAATTTCATCATCATCATTTCTGTGAAAAATTTATTACTTATGAACAGATTCTGTCTACATTAAATTTGTTGCACATAACCTCAAAAGTCTACCACCATTCTCATGTTTATTATTGTTGCCTTGCAAAGAATATTGTACACATAATTTGTAGGTCTGTTGATAACCTATCTTCACACCAAATTTCATCAAACTGAGGTCAGAAGAAAACTTTTGCATACTCATAACGTTCTTATTTTACATTTTACATTAACAGAAGTTCAATAATTTTTAAGATCTACTTTTACACAGGGCCCTATATTAAGCAGTGCTAGAATCTTTCTCACCTCATATGTTCATACATCCATCATGCTATTATTATTCACTGCAGGAAACTAAAAATTATGAGTCCTCAAGTGGCATAATGTTTATCTCATGTTCCATGAAAGTGAGTCAATTGATCCAAAAGTTTAAGGTGTAACACAAGCTCATGCATGGACACACAGAATGGTCTCATAACCAACATTTTTTTCTTTAAGAAATGAATAAAGTTTGTAAATGGATCTCTCATAAAAAAAATATGGCTTGGTGAACTAATGATATATCAAGTACGATGCAGGTAATAATAAATGTAAAAACTATAATGATCTGTCAGCCAAAATCTCACTGTATGAATTAGTGCCATCCTTGGTGAAGAAACAAATTAAAACCATTCTGCACATAGTGCATGGTAATTCTTTTTATGCACCTTCTTGTATTGTTACCTATATATTTATGAAGATGCAAGATTTTCAGTCAAGAACCTGCTGAATTGGAGATTAATGTCATACCTGTAACAAAAAAGTGATGAAGCATACCATCCTGCACAGAGATGTTGGCCAGCAGGTTAACCAACTTGATGGTAACATCGGTATCATCCTCAAAATGCCGGCACAAATTCACAATCAATGGTAATCCACCCAAACTGACAATGTCTGCAAGTACACAAGCAAAATTTGGAATTTTCTACTAAAGTGACAAAAGAAAAAAGAGGGATGATGAATTAAATTACATCAAAGCTGCAATTACAGTAAAAGTGTTTTATCTATAACAGTGGTTCTTGGTATTTTTTGTTTCACTATTCCCTTCTCACATGACAATCTAAAATCTGTATACGCCCATTTTTCTTTTACATTTTCAGAAGTCTGTAACTCTTTATGCACATCTTCATAGCCAGTCTCAAGGATGTCAAATCTCAAAGAAAAAAAAATCGCCCAGTAATTTACACATAAAAAGGGAAACAGGAAATTGAATCTGGCTCATGACTGTGTTCTGATGAACTTTTTGTTCTACGAGTATTACCAAAGTTTGGGGAGGTGCAGGGGGGGAAGGTGTTAGAACATCCATGTTTGTTTCTTCTTTAAGTTTGTTATTAAACGATGTCGGAATTGACATTACATAGCATCAAGCCCTGTTTGTTAGAAGCACTTACAACACACATTTTCTGTAACATTCTGCTACCATAGGAAGGGGCACTCTTTGTATTTGTGTTTTATATAACTATCCTATTATTTTATGGAGGCCTCAAGAATTTTCACTGCATGGGAAACTTGGTTGAGTGCACTCCCACTAAACGTATGTGCTATATGGAAGTTTGCTGATAGCTGCATTTGAACATGTTCAGTGTGGAGAGTTCAGCATGCTGATATTAGTGAGAATACAGCTAAAGGCCGTTATATAATGCTATCAGATCATTTACAATATAAACTATGCAAACTAAAATCAGACAGAAGTCGGTCAAAAATCTAGTGGTACTACAGCAAAAACTGATAAATCTTACGGTTATTGCAGGAAAAAATTTCTCAGCAAATCTATAGCCCTACTCCTACTGATATTGGGATTCAATGTCTTGCTTTCCTTCCTTACTGTTACATTCACTTCCCTCTCGTGCAGACCACTGTAAAGTAATATGACAATGTTTGATGGAATAAAGTGTTAATATTCTCACCTTTTGCATTATCCTCAATACTGGAATGGTGTAACAGACTTTCAATACTGAGAGGAAGAATATCATCCTTTCTGATGCGCGCCTGTGGGACCTCCGTGGTAGCGAGATCGATATCAAAAACAATATGTCTGTACTACACAGAAACACATGCAGCAATAAACAACTGTATGTAACATAAATGAATACTGATAGAACTAAACATCACCTATCTGCAATATACTGCAAGAACTCTGCAGTTTTAGGAATAATTCCACATACCCATAAAGATCATAAATTTTAAGGCACATATTTTCTTTCTGAAGTTACAGCAAATTCTGAAAATTGCCTCGTGTGCATTTGCATGTTGTACCTTATTTGCACAGAGTTCCTTCCAAAGCTCCATAAAGATAAAAAAGTATGGAGTGAGACTGGGTACACTTAGCAGGGAAAGATCCTCGGGAATCATGTTTTCACTGTAATCCTGTGGAGACTGAGTTGTGTGTGCAGTAGTACTGTGGGAACACTGCTGTCCTCAACTGCCAAACAAATGAGTATAGCATTACAATGATACTCTCATTCTTACCAAACTTCAGGAGATCATACTTAGCAGTATGTGCTTTCATCTTCTGTCATAGATGCACAGTGACTTCATGATCATTCTGTATGTCAATCCTGGTCCTACAGGTTACATGAGATTTCCCATGCATTTTTGTAGATTGAAAAATGCTTACAAGATTGAGTTCTGTGCCTATAGCAAGAAACAGAATGCGTTGAAAGTCAAATACTTAGTATGTCAGTGTCATTTGTCAACAAATATGAGGTTGGGTAAAAATGCTGCAGCTTTTTTATCTTGTGTACTGGAGATGTCTACTGTATTCCAGTTTCAAAGAAGCTTCCTTCTGTTGTCACACAATCCCGCCAGTCCTCTTTCCAGGATTTTGTCGTAGCCATCTGAACCTCTTCCAGGGAATCAAGTCTGCATCCCCTCACAACATCTTTCACTAAGAGAACGGAGTAATCTGCAGGGGCAGATCTCATGAATAAAGTGACTGTGGAAACACAGGAACACTGCCTTTCTCCAGGCAGACAGAGACCAGGGTAGACCATTACAGCAGGCCATTGTTGTGAAGCAGCAGTGAATTGACAGAATGCCATAGTTTTGGCTGTTTATGCTAGATAATCTCTTGAAAACACTGAGAAATACTCCTTACATGGATTTGTACATGGTGTGTCCATCAGGAATTAATTTATGATGCACTTCTCCTTTCTTATTAAAAAATAATTCTAGTATTACCTTGCCCTTAGGTCTGTCCACATAAGGCATTTGTTTCCTAGCAAAATATGGCAATATCCAGTAAGACACCATGATACAAATTTAGTTAACACAGGTTTCATTATCAGTAATGACACAGTTAAAATTATCTAGGTACAAAGAGACTATAGATTATGTCTCTGCTGATGAAGACATTCTTCTTGCTATTTGTCCATGATATTCTCTGACACGTGGCCACAGATGCAGTGCATGTTCAAATCATCATGCAAAATGGCATGACAAGTACTATGTGACACCCACCAAACATGTAACCTTACAAATTGTTAGAGTACAGTCTTTCTGGAAAACTCTTGTTAAAAAGCTGATCTGTCACTGTCCTTCCCTCAGGATGTCTATTTGGTGAGCATCCGTGAAGTGTTGGAGTTGCTCACTCACTTCAACTGTTTTCATACTTTCCATGTTACATGCTTGCCTCATCTTCAAAGTTTAGGCATAAGACCTACCCAAAACAAACATAAAATTTGATGAAACCACTGTTCAAAGTGGGACATCATGGAATATATGTGGCTTTCATGCATCACCAACTGAGCAAACATACAAGTGAGATCTTCACTAAGGCAAATCAAATGTCACCTTTCACATCATCCATTTCAAGGTATAGAAGCAGATATTTTTTGGCGGGAATTTCAGATTTGTGGAAATGTCCTGATCCTACTTTATATAGGAATTACATGCAAAAGAAACCCAGCCTCTAAGCATTATGGCAGGTCTAGCAGACCTTCACTGACCATCAATTCACTTGCATGGGCTGCATGCGACTGTTCACTACAAAAAATACTGTTATCAGTACAGGGTATAAAATAAACATGTGTTTAAGAGCTGGGACTCCAATTTGAAACATTTTACAGTATTGTTTATATTTGATGAAAGAAAAAATAATGTACATCTTTATGCATTATGGTATTTGTGCTGCTCACTAACTTTAAATGAATGTAGACACCAATGGGGTACATAAAATCACAAAGAATGCATTTGGAAAATACAAGTATGTACATTTCATACTGGGGTACAGCTTCCTACTCTTATTCCTATTACCCCTTCCATTAATAAGTTGCGATATGACACAGGTACAGATAATAAACTCACCTGTATCTTAGGGAATGCCTTTGTAAGGAAGAATGTGATGCAGGGGTGCTTCTTCACATCATTCAAAGAATGGAGAAGACTGTACATATTGCCCATTAACGCCTGCAAAAAACATCATCCAGAAACCCTTTAGACTTTACGTCCCAACAATGTATGAGGGTGTATGTGCACCTGTGTGTGCCCTTATACATATACAGACACACAATAATTTTAGCAGTTGTTTTATATGGATATGAAATATTACATAAATTAAAAGCTTATACCTGATCACACAACTACTGTAGTTGGCAGTCAGCTCCAAGTCATGACCTTTGAGATGCCCTGTGTGACCTTTTATGATGGGTTGTGTGTGTGTGTGTGTGAAGTACCAAGGCTGGGTGAGCAGAATATGTGATAGGGTGTTACTTTAGGTACTAAGAGATACTTACTTACCTGAACTGAGATATAAGATTTTCTCATGATTACATAACCTCCTGTACTCATAGCTGTCAGCAAATATTATCAGAATTGGAATGGCTCTGTGCATGTGTCCTAAGCCCTTATGCCTTAAAGTTGAGTAAATTCTCTATTCAGTCACATACTTCTCTGGTTATGGAATGGAGACTTCCCTTTCCCAAACAACGGAGAGGCAAAGGGTGTGATCTAACAGTACCTTTACAGACTGCCACCTACAAGTAGGTCGGGAAGTAAACCTGAAATTACACTTCATGCATAATGTTGTGGAAAAGAAACTGCAGTTGGCTAAGAATTGCTTGTTATGATGAAAGTGCCAAAAATGTTCTTGTTTTTAACAAGATTTTTCCATAATGTACCATTAACGAATTAACCTTACTGATGTTCTTAATATACTGAAGTTCTCATCATAAGCCACATTCATTCTATCACAGTTCCACTGTTCTCAGCTAGACTTTAAGGATATGGGTTGTTAGAAAGTGGACATATCTTAACTGCCTTCAATCTGTGTTCAACATCAGGTTTCAGTATTAGCAGCATTGAACAATAAATTATTTCACTAAAAAGTTGAATAGGACTGTGAATATATTTATGAGTGTAGGAAAGGTTTAAATATTCAAATAGTTAACACAGCCCTGAAATGAACCACATATACACCAATATTACCTCTTTGGTTGGAGATAAGTGCCAATAAGGGGGTTTCAGGAAAAACCGCAAGTCTATTCCCTCTGTGCGAGCAAGCCCCACTGCTGTACGAGCATCACACATTTGGGCCACATGTTGGTAGTCCCAATCTTAAAAGAACAATATAGCTGAAAATATGAGAGGTCTACAAATACTTATATCAGTACTAAAGAAAATATATACACTCAAGTGCCAAGTCATGGGATAGCAGTATGTAAATTTATTTTTAAGTGGTGCCACCATCCCTTGATGGCTTGGGAATGCCCAGAGCAGTATCAGTTGTGAGGTGTTCTCTCGTGAGTCAGGTTGAACACCGGCCAGTTTGCTCATGGCAAGCCGACATAAATTATCGGAGTTTCAACGGGGCATGATAGTGGGTGCCAGGCAGATGGGACATTCCATTTCCAGAGTTGTGCAGTCATTCAACATTCCTTGATCCATGGTGTCACATGTGTACCGGGAATACCTTGTGGAAGGCATTTCCACCCACTGTGGACAGCGCACTGGCCGACCATGGATGCTTAATGATAATGATAATAGCGGCATCTGGCTAGAATTGTCCGTGGTAACAGACAAGCGACACTAGCTGAAATCACATCCACATTCAATGCAGGAGGTACCAGACACATATCCAGCAGGTCAGTGCAGCGTTCTTTAGCTTCCGTGGGATATGGGAGCAGAAGACCGACCAGAGTGCCTCTGTTAACACCATGACACTGGACACAGAGCCTCACCAGGCTTGTGACGTCGCTAATTGAACCTTGGAGGACTGGCAACATGTGGCATGGTCCGATGAGTCATGGTACCAGCTCTTTCGGGTGGATGGTAGGGTTCGGGTGTGGTGCAGACCCCATAAGGCCATGGACCCCAGTTGTCAACAAGACACCATGCAAGCTGGTGGTGGTTCCATACTGGTGTGGGGTGTGTTCACGTAGCATGAGTTGGGTCCACTCGTCCACCTAAACACGTAATTGACCAGTGACCGCTATGTTACATTGTTTCATGTCCATTTGCAGTCCTTCATGGACTTCATGTACCCCCACAGCAATGGGCTATTCCAGCAGGACAATGCACCGTGTCATCGGGCCGGAGTTGTCCAGAATTGGTTCGAGGAGCATTCTGGAGAGTTCCGACGAATGGTGTGGCCACCACGTTTGCCCGACATGAACCCAATCGAGCATTTATGGGACGTGGTGGAGAGGTCCATTTGCACCCAAAATCCTGCACCTACAAATACCAGGGAGCTGTGGGTGGCTATTCAGATGGCATGGCTTAACATCTCTCCAGAGGTCTACCATCCACTTGTGGAATCGATGCCACGTCGAGTTGCTGCACTTCGCCGGGCTAGAGAGGGTCCTACATGATACTAGGTACCTATCCCACGACTTTTGGCACTTCAGTGTATATAATTCAATAAGCATTTTCTGGCATTGGAAATTGTATGCAGTAGATACAATGGAGGTATATAACCACATGTCAAAACCAACAGTGTCCTGATATCAGGAGGTTTTACTAATGTTTGTTACCATAGCAATGAGTTTTTGAGTGTTAACACACAAACCAGCTTTGCTAATTTGTATAAAAGTAGTCAGTAAAAATAAATGGTCTTGGGCTTCAACGATTTTTTCTTTTATTCTGTGTGTGGGCTTAATATTTGGAGGTTGATACATGCAGTACAGTTAGTATTCATTACAGAGTGTGAATTAGACTACAAAGAAGATGTAAAGTTTCTAAAGTCATCTGAAAGGTCTAATCTGAAACCAACAAAGTAACCTGGCTGAACACTTGATATGTGTGAACTTTGATGGCAATATGACTGTTGGAATTCTCATCATCATGACGATCATATGACATACCTGAGAAAAGTCTATCCATGTGTACAATCTGTTAATTCAGGCACATCCCACAAGAAACTATAGTACCAACTGTGATGTTCATGTAATGTTATTAGTCTCCTTGATAGGTAATAAGCAGAATATATGAGAGATCACAAAGAAGAGCTCAGCAATCTGAATACAGTAAACCCAAGTTATAGCCAACCTGGATATAACAGACAAATCTGGCTGTGTAAATTGTAAATTTTTAGAGACACTGAGGGACTAAAAAGGTTTTGTAATTAGAAAACTATTTAAAATACAAAAGAACTCTAATATTAAAACCTTTATGTAATAGTACAGTGTGCTTCTATGCTTATTTCATGTACTAGCTATGTATCTTATATCGTACTTCCATGAATACCCCTTCTCTCTGTTACAGCAGATGTAGGAGACAATGGACACCCTGTCCCCCCTTATTAACCCGTTGTAATGACAGTTTACTGTTATTTTGCTCAATCTTTTGTGCCCATAACAGTGAGCTTCATAACAATGTCCATAAACATTGCCCCAAAATTTTTAGACATAACATTTAGAAATCACTCTGCAGTATCCCCCAAAAGTGCATTTTGACACAATTATTTTCCAAAAATCTGCCCTCCTCCAGTAACTAAAGCTTTAAAACTGTGTCACTGAAGGAATGAGATACATAAGTGTTCATGCATCCCTAAATTAAAGTCTTATGTGATCCACACACTCTCAGAAACAATAAACAGAAAAACAGCGAGTTATTATGTAGGGTAAAATGCAACAAAATTCTTGACCTTGACATTATATTGAAGTGAATGGTCATCATCATGTTCATTTTGATTTACTAACAGTGAAAAAAGCCCTGGTTTCCACTGAATTGGAAGCTAAGTGGGCCCCAAGCTATTGTGGACGTTATGGCAGAGAGGAAAAAAGTCCTTGCTACTGCTAGAACTTAAAACTTATGTTTTCAATCTGTAACCACTCACTGTACTGACCAAGTTATCCTTTGTGAGATTTAAGGTTCTCAAGGGGTAAGGATCAAGATTGCTGTCTACTAGCATGTAATGCTGTGTTACTCAGTAGGCTGATATGCACTTCAATGGAATCTGTTGCATCTACCTTCAGGGTAGAAGAAGGAGGCATCAGGTTCCTCCAAAATGTTAGTACCAATTTATTAAACTATATATTTCCACATCTCAGGATACTGTAATGTTGAAGTTATCTGGTTCAATTTTATACACACGCAGAAAACAAAACTAAATACTTTCTGTAAATTTGTGTTTTACGTGTATTCACTGTTACTACAAAAACTGGAATAATCAGTCAATGGAACCCCTACTTGAATTGAATTTCAGTGATCAAAGATTGACCTTAATTTGGGGTTTCAATCCACTGCACACCAAGGAAAACTTTAAATGGGGGTTTCAGTGTATTTTGGTACAACATCTGGCATGGTTTAACAAATCAAATAGCAATAAAATAAAACTACAATTATTTATTTTTTCATGGAGGGGGGGCTACATGTTTCCCGTACCAAACCCCTTAATTGTTGAACTTAACATCTTATAAACAATGGATTATAATCTCAAATTATCATGAATACTTCTTCAGCAACTTGAGGGAGGATGATCAAACTGAATATTCAGTTACTAAATTTATTATATTAACTCTGTATTAATTCTGCTTGCCCCTCACGTTACTAGTAAAGACAACACCACATGCTGTGGAGGAAACATGCAAACCAGGGGCATATGGCAGTCATAAGTGAAAAGTAGGCTACGAACGTGAGGGACAAGCTGCCGAAACAAAACACCCTGGACAGACATACATTTATGAAAAATGGACAACATCCTGTGTGAGGTGAAATAAAATGTACCAAAATAATGTGGGTATAATAGAAATTTTAAAGGATTTTATCTCGTTTTACCTTGAAAAGAGAACTACAGCGTGTGATTTTAACACGGACTAAGACAGTGTAGCAGTTTTAACATAATGTAATAAAATATTTGTAACATATCAAGACACCTGAAGATAGCCATTTGGGGCCGAAACATGTAGTGTCAAGGTGTATAATGTTACAATATTATATTTAAGCATCCTGTTGCACTCCATACGATAAATGACATAATGATACAAACTCCGTCTCAAGTGCAAACAATATATTTTGTGTCTTTGATCTTGCTCCCCTACACTACATGTTTTGGCCTCAGATGGCCATCATCAGGTGTATAACNGCTGCAGCACTTTAAACATAGGGCGAATAACCATAACAATTTAAATTTTTTTTTTTTTTTAATTTAGGAAAAAAAATTTTAAAGGTTTTTAAAATTAGAACTAAAGATTTTGTTATAGTGCTATTACAACAAAGTCAAAATTAACGTGTGTAAAATAAAATAATCTACAAACCAGACAGTTATCAACGAAGCAGAAATTGATAATAACAAGGAAAGTGTTTTTAAATGTTAAATTTTGAGCTGGGTGCAGTGTGACAGCGACGTGAGTGTTATACACCTGATGATGGCCATCTGAGGCCAAAACATGTAGTGTAGGGGAGCAAGATCAAAGACACAAAATATATTGTTTGCACTTGAGACGGAGTTTGTATCATTATATCATTTACTGTATATNAAGATCAAAGACACAAAATATATTGTTTGCACTTGAGATGGAGTTTGTATCATCATATCATTTACTGCATAATGTTAAACTAAAATTAAAATTTAGTAGTGAATAAACAAGTGTTGCAATATTGACGAACAATAAATACATGGACGTTAAGTTATTATATTAAAACTGATCTCTGTGACAAGCATAGTTTAACAGGTGCAAAAAATAGTGGAATATGAGTTTTATAGCCAGAGGTTGTATGGGACAGGTAATACCATCCACAAACACCTAGTCTCATCTCCTCATGGGGCAATCTCTCTTAACTACAGAGTGAATCATATAGAACCGGCCCGATGAATTTGCTAATAATTCCACAGGTGATGCATATAACCGCTCACAATTATGACTAAATAATCCGTGGGCCATGCTGAGTCGAATGGTGCGCGCATGATCCGGCAAGTGGCAGTCCTTATGCTGCTAGGTCAAGGACAATTCCAAAACGTGTCTGCAGTGCGCAGGCGACAGTCATGGGGTTCACTGTTGAACAGCGAGTGTTTCTAGTGCCTACCTGAAAACGGCGGACACACCACCTGCTCTCATCACGGCACACAATCAAAGATAAGATATGTGTAAATTACTTCAATATCTGTATGGTATATTTTATATTACAGCTCATTTCGTCGGGCCGGTTCTATATGAATCACCCTGTACTATGCACCTGGGGAACAAGTCACAGTGGTATATCCATACTGCCTCGAAGCCTGTCTAATGGCTAGCTGAAGTCAAAATTCGTAACACTGGACTCCTGCTTCTTTTGGACGCAACAAATCTAAGTAGCAGATTAACACCTCTTTTTCAAGTTTGAAAATGTCATTAACCATTGTATATGCTGAAGGTGATGAAGCAAGGATGCATGTAGCTATGAATAAATAGATAAAGACCATTGAAGATATGAAATTGAACTGTAACGGGCTACATGGTTTAAATCCCAACAGATTAATGACAGCAATGATGTAACTATCCTTCAAGAACTAATGGTTGATGTATCAACATAAAAATATTTCCAGTTGCATATGTCTATGCTGCAAGACCTTTCATGCACTAATCCTTGATTCATCCTTGTAAAGAGATGAAACCAGTCTCTACATAAAGTGTCCAGTGTGGGGTCATACTATGCATGACACTATACTATTAATGAAAGAAATGTTCTGCATGAAAAGGGATAACAGATTTAGGCCTTGAACTCACCTTTCATGCTCTTCAGTTTAGCAAGCAGCTGAACAGCCTTCAATCTGTCATTTCTGTCTCCAGTTTGTGCCATTGCTATTAACTGCCATGAGTATGACTGCTCCAGTGACCTCCAAAACTTCAGAAAGGATGGAAACCAGGACAGTTTTTGCTTTGTGCTCCTCTCCTGATCATATGCCCGCTTTTTCTCTGTAACATGAGAAACACATGTTTATGTGTTCACATGCAAAATCATTTGGCCTCTTTTACCTGATGCATAAGTTAGGCAGTACATTTATTTTCTATAAATCCAGTGTCCCATAAAATGGTTGTAAAAGGCAGAAATAAAATGCTTAAAACATGTCATTTATAACAGTGGTTCAATATTTCATAAATAGGCAACAATAAAATTATTGAAGTTAATCTCCCAATGCAGAGGAATATGCTCTCAGTGTCCTATTTTTTTGGCCATGTGATGAAAAATTACATCAAAGTCCAGATAGGATGGAGGAGACTAGAAATGCATACAGAAACTGATGAGGAAACCTCTTCAAAAAAGGCCCATATGGAAGACTGAGAAGAGGATGCGAGGATGACATTAAGAAGAATCTGGCAGTGTGTCACTATGGTATTGGAGGAGGATTCAATCAGCTCAGTATGTCAGGTGATCCAAGAGCAGGGTCTGGTATTAGCTGTGCTGAACCTTTGGGTTCTGCTACCATTGTTTGTTACTGTGAACATCAGTTTTCTTGTGCTCTCACTGAGGGGAATGTGAGAAGAGGAGTGGCAACTGCTAGGATGCTGTGTACCCATGCCACTCTGTTCTATGTCATGAAAGGAAACACAATATCGTAATGTGCAGCAGCCAGTAGAGAGAAAGGAGGAAGAATCTGTAGCTCAGGGTCATGTTTTCTGTTAGGTGGGTATTTGATGCACCATACAAAGCTACTTCATGGAAAATGTTCCTTTCTGCNTTTAAAGGTTTTTAAAATTAGAACTAAAGATTTTATTATAGTGCTATTACAACAAAGTCAAAATTAACGTGTGTAAAATAAAATAATCTACAAACCAGACAGTTATCAACGAAGCAGAAATTGATAATAACAAGGAAAGTGTTTTTAAATGTTAAATTTTGAGCTGGGTGCAGTGTGACAGCGACGTGAGTGTTATACACCTGATGATGGCCGTCTGAGGCTGAAACATGTAGTGTAGGGGAGCAAGATCAAAGACACAAAATATATTGTTTGCACTTGAGATGGAGTTTGTATCATCATATCATTTACTGCATAATGTTAAACTAAAATTAAAATTTAGTAGTGAATAAACAAGTGTTGCAATATTGACGAACAATAAATACATGGACGTTAAGTTATTATATTAAAACTGATCTCTGTGACAAGCATAGTTTAACAGGTGCAAAAAATAGTGGAATATGAGTTTTATAGCCAGAGGTTGTATGGGACAGGTAATACCATCCACAAACACCTAGTCTCATCTCCTCATGGGGCAATCTCTCTTAACTACAGAGTGAATCATATAGAACCGGCCCGATGAATTTGCTAATAATTCCACAGGTGATGCATATAACCGCTCACAATTATGACTAAATAATCCGTGGGCCATGCTGAGTCGAATGGTGCGCGCATGATCCGGCAAGTGGCAGTCCTTATGCTGCTAGGTCAAGGACAATTCCAAAACGTGTCTGCAGTGCGCAGGCGACAGTCATGGGGTTCACTGTTGAACAGCGAGTGTTTCTAGTGCCTACCTGAAAACGGCGGACACACCACCTGCTCTCATCACGGCACACAATCAAAGATAAGATATGTGTAAATTACTTCAATATCTGTATGGTATATTTTATATTACAGCTCATTTCGTCGGGCCGGTTCTATATGAATCACCCTGTACTATGCACCTGGGGAACAAGTCACAGTGGTATATCCATACTGCCTCGAAGCCTGTCTAATGGCTAGCTGAAGTCAAAATTCGTAACACTGGACTCCTGCTTCTTTTGGACGCAACAAATCTAAGTAGCAGATTAACACCTCTTTTTCAAGTTTGAAAATGTCATTAACCATTGTATATGCTGAAGGTGATGAAGCAAGGATGCATGTAGCTATGAATAAATAGATAAAGACCATTGAAGATATGAAATTGAACTGTAACGGGCTACATGGTTTAAATCCCAACAGATTAATGACAGCAATGATGTAACTATCCTTCAAGAACTAATGGTTGATGTATCAACATAAAAATATTTCCAGTTGCATATGTCTATGCTGCAAGACCTTTCATGCACTAATCCTTGATTCATCCTTGTAAAGAGATGAAACCAGTCTCTACATAAAGTGTCCAGTGTGGGGTCATACTATGCATGACACTATACTATTAATGAAAGAAATGTTCTGCATGAAAAGGGATAACAGATTTAGGCCTTGAACTCACCTTTCATGCTCTTCAGTTTAGCAAGCAGCTGAACAGCCTTCAATCTGTCATTTCTGTCTCCAGTTTGTGCCATTGCTATTAACTGCCATGAGTATGATTGCTCCAGTGACCTCCAAAACTTCAGAAAGGATGGAAACCAGGACAGTTTTTGCTTTGTGCTCCTCTCCTGATCATATGCCCGCTTTTTCTCTGTAACATGAGAAACACATGTTTATGTGTTCACATGCAAAATCATTTGGCCTCTTTTACCTGATGAATAAGTTATGCAGTACATTTATTTTCTATAAATCCAGTGTCCCATAAAATGGTTGTAAAAGGCAGAAATAAAATGCTTAAAACATGTCATTTATAACAGTGGTTCAATATTTCATAAATAGGCAACAATAAAATTATTAAAGTTAATCTCCCAATGCAGAGGAATATGCTCTCAGTGTCCTATTTTTTTGGCCATGTGATGAAAAATTACATCAAAGTCCAGATAGGATGGAGGAGACTAGAAATGCATACAGAAACTGATGAGGAAACCTCTTCAAAAAAGGCCCATATGGAAGACTGAGAAGAGGATGCGAGGATGACATTAAGAAGAATCTGGCAGTGTGTCACTATGGTATTGGAGGAGGATTCAATCAGCTCAGTATGTCAGGTGATCCAAGAGCAGGGTCTGGTATTAGCTGTGCTGAACCTTTGGGTTCTGCTACCATTGTTTGTTACTGTGAACATCAGTTTTCTTGTGCTCTCACTGAGGGGAATGTGAGAAGAGGAGTGGCAACTGCTAGGATGCTGTGTACCCATGCCACTCTGTTCTATGTCATGAAAGGAAACACAATATCGTAATGTGCAGCAGCCAGTAGAGAGAAAGGAGGAAGAATCTGTAGCTCAGGGTCATGTTTTCTGTTAGGTGGGTATTTGATGCACCATACAAAGCTACTTCATGGAAAATGTTCCTTTCTGCAGCTAAGCTAGGGTGTCTAGGGCTCTGGAAAACTGATGCAGGCAGTAGTTAGCTAATATTCAGACAGCGGCCTCCGTAGTCTAGAGGTAACGTTCCCACCTCATGACTCGTAGTACGCGGGTTCAAACCCGGCGGAGGTCGTCGAATTTTTAAGGGCAGAAAAATTCAGGGAACAAGTCCTCCGGGAGGGACTTTAAGCCGTGGGTCCCGTATCGTAGCTTTACGGCACATAAAAGAACCTCATACCTCCAAAGGAGGTCACTGAGCTAAATTCAAGGACATTTCCCGCCCAACAGTAGTCTCTAACACATCTGATAGATGGGGGAAGCATTATAGATACCGCCAAGCCAGTAGAGGCCGAACTCGCTGGCTCGGTCGGGACTGATGGTACGCACCAATATCGGTAGGGTATAGAGGCTGGTAGAATATCATAGAGGGAAGCACAATGGACCAATACTGGTCTCAGTGCATGGGGAAACCCACCCTCTCCAATAACTAACTAACTAATATTCAGATTCATGATCTCCTTGATTACAACAGCTTCCAAGCTCCCTGACGCTAGATTGAAAGTAGAAAGCTTAACAAGTATTTGCGATGTGAATTTATGACTATTTGAAAATTACTGCCTTCTGGGATGTGATGTAGTGTGGTTTGGAACGTAGGTACATTCTGTAGCAACCTGTTACCTCCATCTTCAGCAAAAGCAGGGCCCTCTAAAACATAACTATTGCCAAACTACACAGCATCACATCCTAGAAGGCAGGAAATTTCATAGTCACAGCCGTTAGAAGCTCATTCCTTGCATTATGCTTTTCTGTCTTAATGTTTTATAATTTTTGGATGACTATGACCTGCATGTTCACCAGGGGTCAGTGACTTGCTGCAATGGAAAGAGAGAAAATAATTTCAAGACAGGCTAGCAATAAGAATGGAATAATTAGGTTCTGACAAACTCTTCACAATAAACTGTCCTTATGCATTCTACCATTCGTTTGTAACAACTGATTACGTATAAACTTAGCATATAATTACAACATGCGTACATATATTAATAGTGCATAAAAAGACAGTCACTGTATTGGAAAGTTGTTTCGTACTTACCATACAGCAACTGGAACTGAGGATCATTGATATATATATAATCTGCTTTCTTCCTGTGATCAATAACATCTGTCTTCACTGTCTGACCCAGCATGTATTTTGTTTTGTAGGTTTGATACACAAACCATCCTCCTCTGTCAGAATTATACAGCACTGATTAGAATCACAAAGCTGCTAAGTATGCAAGTTCAAAAACATATGTCCTGCTAGTAACTGTGAGGAATTAGGGTTAAATCTCTGACAGATAACTGTCTTCCCACAGTTTTCCTCAGTTCTTCCACACATATGATCTACATGTGCTATAAAATTACAACCTCTTCCTCCAAAATCCTTTCCAAGTTACCATCTATAATCATCCTCACATCCCATTCAATATCCACACATGACATATAGCCATCTTAAATAACCTACTAATAAATACCTACGTTTCAGATTTTAGAAAAAAATTGTTTATTGTAAATGAGATAAACGCCAAACTCAAACTTCTGCAGCGTATTTCTTGATAAGAGTTCTGATTACGATATAGATTCTCACTCACCATTCTAAGCTAAAGACAAACATAAGAAACATGGGAAAACTAAAGTAACTGTGCCTGAAGCAGGTAAAGTTAATTAAACTAACAGACTGTTCTGGTTGTTGGGAACATACAAAATATCATTAGAAACAGCCCTGAACAGACGGTGGGCAGTCATGCGTGTTGGGCTTGTATAGTTCAACAATTTGATTTGTTTCTTGATTACTTATAAGAATCAATGTATCTGATTCAGTAACATGGACTTACAAAACATATATGAGTAAAGTAAAGGTAAAAGGTAAAGCTGTCCTTGTGCTTGACTAATTAACCACTATGCCATGAAGGTGTATGGGAGAGTGGATGTATAGATCCACATTTTCTTCACCTCAGCACTAGCTGGAGGCGAGTGGTCGGCTTCACACCCTGGTCACTTTAACCACAGGGAAAGAGCTGCCAGTATCCATTCGATAGGAAGTTGGGTGGACCAGAGAGCCAGTCTGGGCGTGAAAAAGAGAAAATTCTTGATATTACTGGGACTCAAGCTCCGACCCCTTGCCATCCAGCCCATAGCTAGTTGCTATGCCAACTTAACTACCCTGGCTGGTATACTTGATTGGAGAACCAGCATAAAATAGCTACTGGATATATACAATTTTCCACATTAGGGATTAATTCAGTAGATTAAGATAATTTTAATTACTTTAATTTATGTGAATCAATGTAAGAGACTTTCCTCCCAGGATCACTTTTTCTTAGATCACATAATGTTGGCACAGCAAAATTTTGAATCAACTGTGCATTACAACTGAAAAAAATCATCTTTTGAACTGTTCTGCTTAATGTGTAAGAATTCAATGACAAATAGTCATATACATTTGTCTTTATTTATTTACAAATGATGAAAGTGGTTTGCCCTCTTTGTCGTAGTATCTCTTGGGATATAACACTGTGGAATTCCATGAAAGACAACTGACATTTCAGAGAAATATAATGCCTCCATCTTCAGGGTTGAAGAGTAAGCCAAGTAAGAAAACACCATCAAGCCCTGCTTGCTGCCTGCTTCTTGCTCATTTCTTACTTGGCTTACTCTTTGAACCTTAAGATGGAAGCAATAAATTGCTCTAAAAGGTCACTTGACTGTCACCAGACTACACCGCGTTATATTCCAAAAGACAGAACTGATCATAATCAGGATTGTGAGAACTTTAAATCCAGCCTTGCCATAATTTTACTGTGGGTATTTTTAAGATGTGTTATCTGCGAGATGTGGGCGTGTACGTATGTAATCACACAGACTTCTCTCTTAAGTACGTCTGCTACTAGCAGAAGGCAATTGTAACTTTATTCCAATGTAATATAATACTAGAACGTGCTTGTTTTTCGGTAAAAGCTAACTGCATCAGAATAATCTGCTTACTGAGAAATAACACATGAATGCAACACAATACAGAATTAATTTCACAATTATGGGTTATGTTTGTATGGTGCTCATAATATCATAATTGACTGGTATAAAATTCACAAATTTTCCTACCCATGTACTCACCCACTAATAAATATAAATGACCCAGTGATTCGGAGTAAACTTAACAGTTTTATGTTTATCATGGACATATAGTTTCAGTAACTACACCATATAAACTTTCATGTTAATACTTCATTCCGTATAATTCTAAATGCGATTTCACTGCATTCGGTGTCTTCCCCTTTCTTCGGAACATTCCACTTTAACCACTTACATTTAAATAAATTTCATGACAAATTTTGCCGAACGTGATCACTGCAGCCAACGACATTTAAATGAACTTCTCTGCGATTCCGTGATAAAACGAAATTTCAATGCACCTATGTGACGGGAAAATATCATCGTTGCCCATTAATCGCACAGTGGAATAGATTAACGACGACTTGTCAAGATAAACAATTTCGAGTCAAGATAAAAATTGCCCAAATGACTGGAATATAAAGAAGACTGTTGACAAGCTAGAAGCAAAAAACGTTGGTGTACGTAGATCATACCCTAAAATTTTATGTTAGAGTATTATTCCACTGACATTTTATGCCTCCTTACGACCCGTGCCTTCTTTTCAGCTCTGGTGGTCACACATTTGTTTCAAATGTTTAAAAGAGCGCCATATACGAAGTACGTAGTAGAGAGTGCCTATTTGGGTACGGTAAAAGGGAAAGTTGGCATGTACGAGTACTGTCTTCGCTCGCTTGGAAACCGGGATCATGGGTGCGAATCCCACTCAGGACATGGATGTTTAGTTTGTGTGTGTGCGTTTTTCTGTGTTTGTGTACAGGTAGAGGACTTGCGACGAGCTGATCACTCGCCCAATGAGTCCTACCGAACGTGTAAAATCTAGAAAAACCGAAGTGAACGGAGAAGTTCTTGAAGGTAGGTCTAGGCCCACTGGGGTTGTAGAGCCAAGGGGAGGAAAAAAATGGGGGAAAGTTGTCCCTGTATTTAACTAATTAAACAATACGCTATGAAGTCGTATGCGGGAATAGATGTACAGATTCATGTATTCTTGACTTCGGCACTAGTTGGAGATGAGTGGTCAGCTTCACGCCTCGCCCGCCTTACCCCGAGGAAAGAGCCCCCCCCCCCACCGGTACCGATTTGATTGGAGGCTGGGTGGGCCCCAGAGCAAGTCTGGACTACATGGAGAAGAAAAAACCCTTGACCCTACCGGGACTCAAACTCCGACCCCTCGGTTGTCCAGCCCGTAGCTATTCGTTATACAGACTGCGTTATTCCGGCCCCTATTTATTGTAAAAGAAAAAGAAAACAACATTTTTCCCCTCTTAGGACGCATTTCATAGCTTGCTTCCTTTACAAAAGGTCTAGGTTTTTACTATTAGATTCGGTGACACATCTGAGGGTAAATACAAAAAAGAAAAAAAAACTCCGTGGTCTGTAGTCCTCGAGCGAACTATACTGACCGGTCGGTCTTAGGGTAAATGTAAAGTTAAAGTTGCCCCTGTGCTTAACTAATTAAATACTACACCATGAAGGCGTATAGGGGAGTGGATGTATAGATGCACATTTTCTTGACCTCGGCACTAGCTGGAAGTGAGTGGTAAGCTTCACGCCCCTGCCGCTTTACCCGCGGGAAAGTACCCATTGGATAGGAGACTGGGTGGGCCCCAGAGCCGGTCTGGACCACATGGAAAAGAAAAATCTCTTGACCCTACCGGAAATCTAACTCCGAACCCTCGGTCGTCCAGCTCGTAGTATGTCGCTGACTGCGCTATCCAGGCTCCACATCTGTGGATAATACTCATTAATCTGTTCCTCCAAAGGCTCCAAAGCTTGTGTCGCTCAAGACTTGTTTACAGGTTTTCAAACAAGTACTCGTATTCACATGTCTTTAATAGATCCAAAAGGACGTTCTTCACAGTATTAAAGTAAATAAAATAAACACATTTTACACATAACTCAAAGCTTCATGTTCCCCTGTAAGTTTACTAGAACTGTCTTCCAGTCAAATGCGCCACGTCTTGTAAAGACTGTATGAAGTATCAACTGGTATATAAATCAAAGCCTGGAGCTTTTTTTGAAAGAATTCCATACTACTATTTTGAAACTAAGCATTTAAGGGGTTCTTTCACTGAAAGGGAGATTAATTGCATACAAGCACACATAGCCAGAAGCGAAGTACTAATAAAGATTAAGTTGGTAAACTGTCTTCGGTGGGGGATTAAAATGCCTTCGGCACTTTTAATACTCCAATTTACCCTGTATTTCCAACTCTTCTGTTTACAAATTCACAAAAAAGTCCGTCTGGGCTTCTTCATTAAGAACTCAATATATTCTATGAGCAAAATATTTCAAATGGAGATATTTCGAGAGCGAGTAACGAAATGTCCAAAACTGTCGGTTTGTTTCCTGTGAAACACGATACCATCCTCACGCCAGAAGAGTCAGAGACCTCGCCATTTTAATTTCAAAGTCCCTTCCAGGAACAATATAAAGATCAAAGTTGTAACTCATGAGATGACGAATATTATGCAGGGATTTGAAGTGTTATATGACGACAAATTGTTAAAAAGCGCAACAATTTATTAAGATATTTATTTGTTTAATAAAAAATGATAATTACCTATGCTTGATTTCATGTGTGTTTCGTACATATAACCCTCCTCTTCTGATCTGCATTAGGCCTCACATAGTTAAGTATACTTGCCTTCTACTTGAAAATGGAGACATGTCCGAAGGAAATCTTTTTCTCTTCTTAATCACTGGAAGTTTAATATGTTTCATTGACAGTTCGACTAAATTCTGAAACGGCTAATAGTTTATGTATTCGGCAGATTTCCTTTGACGGTGGATCGGTTCACCGCAAAGTCTCTGTCAACACAGGACAACTTATCACAACAAACGCTGACAAGCGTTTATGTCCAAGCGTGAATCGAGCCCGCTCTTTCAGATTTCGAAAAGTTAGAGATCACGAAAATAATACATCAGCAACAACGACATTTATAATACGGCGGCCATGTAAAATATTCTGATACGACACGATACTTGACAAATCTTTGTGAATCTGTGTGGTGACACATTATTAAGACAACTCTTTAAGTCTAGCAGTGGTATACGCGAGACCTTAAAACCAGTAT